CAAAAGATCACAAAAATGACAACAATGACAGCACATGACAAACAAATAACAAACAAGGACAAAATTGACAACCCTGAGGCTCGAAGTTAAGGCCTCGAAGTTAAGGTGTGATTCCATTTTGGTGATAAAAATGGAAAATGGATGGACCATACGTGGTTCATGCAATCATAATTTCCATGCTAAACAGGTCAAATCCATGCCCAGTTTCTCTCATCAGTTCATACAATTGACACAAATGACTCAGCTGCACACTCAGCTGGCCAACGTAATCACAACGTGTTAGCATCGTGAGCAGGTAAACGTTCAATCAACGTTTTACCATATTTTAGATTTTATCTTTTTGAACATATTTTGTCTTTTTTTTAAATATTTTGTAAAAAAATATGAAACCACATTTGTTTGCACAACGTTCTGGACAACAAATTAGCCTACCAAATTTCAGATTAGCCTACCTAAATTTCAGAAATGCCTATGTCATTTTCAAATCACCTAGGCATTTCTGAGATCAGGTAGGCATTTCTGAAAGTCATGAAGGGCAAACCCCTACAAACTAATACCTTACGATCTGGGATGCATTCTTAAGTTTGTGAATCATGTGCTAACAATGGACATCTCCCGTGGAAGCCGGCGAAACTTCGGCGATGGATAAAATCCCACTGGGGTGCCAGTGTTCATACCAAGCTCGTGCTTATGGATACTCGTTTGGCTGCCTCTGCGGCAGCTTCGACTTCACTCTCAGAAGTCGGAATACACAGGAGGTTGTTCCCCCGGAAGCGGAATCTCTTCGGTCGAAGAACTATCCACCAATATTGTGACTGCTTGAGGCTGCCTCGGGAGGCGGCTCGGGCGAATAGCCATCCGACTGAGCTTGCTCGGGTGAATTGCCTCCGACAGCCCCGAGAAACTACGGTAAAATATAGAGTTTTGGATCCCATGAGCTATCATGAGCTTCCCAGTTTTAGAGTGTTTCTGTTTGTTAAACAACCTTCTTTATAGAATTTACAGTTTTTTTCTCAATATCCTCATCGATCCCATTTCTGTTACTGCCCCGAAGAGGCTGAAATGGGGAGTTTCGTGTTTGACATCAAACAGCCAGCAGCACACGGCTATCCGTTTTTTTTCATGACTATTCAGTTCCATCCAACATGTTCAAACCTTTTTTATCGTTAGAATATGTTGAAATCATCATTCGTTTTTAATTGCATCTATAATTTCCAGTTTCATGGATTGGTTGTTCCTAATGTTACCAGTAGTACCGCACAAGGCGGTGGCGGAAGTTTCAAAAATAGGAAACCTATAGGAAAGGTTGGTTGTTGTGAATCAGGGATGGCAGAGCGAATCCACTGATGGATCCTCCAAAAGTGGTCGGAACCCCCTAGTGTTTTGCACATTTTGACTTCAAAATGTGCTTCGCGCCACAACGGCGTTCACTTTTTCGAAATATGAACTTCCAAAAGTGGTCCGACGCTGAGGTGTTTTGTACATTTTGACTTTGAAATGTGCTTCGCGCCACAACGGCGTGCACTTTTTCGACATCGCAACTTCCAAAAGTGGTCCGACAATGAGGCGTTTTGCACATTTTGACTTGGAAATGTGCTTCGCGCCACAACGGCGTGCACTTTTTCGACATCTCAACTTCCAAAAGTGGTCCGACGCTGAGGCGTTTTGTACATTTTGACTTGGAAATGTGCTTCGCGCCAAAGCGGCGTGCACTTTTTCAACATCGCAACTTCCAAAAGTGCTCGCTGAGGTGTTTTGCAAATTTTGACTTGGAAATGTGCTTCGCGCCACAACGGCGTGCAATTTTTCATCTCTCATCTGGCCAGCTGGCTCCGCACCCGCCGCTTTAGCGAGCCTACTTGTCGACCCTCCGGAGCCCCAAATCATTGGAAAAACAGTGTTTCGCGACTTTCCTACCTTTTCGCGCATCTGCATCTTCTTTCTTCTGACTCTTTTCTCTTCTACTCTTCTCTCTTCTAATCTTTCTCTTCTCTCTGCCTCTTCCCTGCTCTGCTTTTCATCTGTCCATATTGTCGGAAGTTTGACTTCTAAACTTCCGTCGATCATTGGTATTCTTCACAAAATTCAAGCTAATAATTATTAAACACCCATTAAATATACAATAATATCCGCCGACCCCGGCCTTAGCCAAGGCAGGGGCGGCGCCTGGAACCACCGCAGGTGTGGAACTTGTCTTTCTTAGCAACAGGCATCCCAAGGCCACATCAATCAGGCCTTCAACGCGTTTGCCAGCCCTAAATGCCATCGCTTAAACATTCCCTTGGCATGCTCCACCCCGAGCCAACAGGCACCCCAAGGCCACACATCAATGGCTTCTTCTGGGCGTCCAAGCCTGCCGTTTGCCAGCCCTTAAACCCCTAAAACCCCTAAAAACCCTCAAAACCCTTAAAACGTTTCCAACAGGCACCCCAAGGCCACACATCAATGGCTTCTTATGGGCGTCCAAGCCTGCCGTTTGCCAGCCCTTAAACCCCTAAAACCCCTAAAAACCCTTATTAAAACGTTTCCAACAGGCACCCCAAGGGCCACACATCAATGGCTTCTTATGGGCGTCCAAGCCTGCCGTTTGCCAGCCCTTAAACTCCTAAAACCCTTTAAACCCGAAAAAACCCGCAAAAGCCTTAAACCGTAAACCCTTAAAACCTTTACAACCCGTACTCGGGGTCCAAGCCTGCCGTTTGCCAGGCCTTCAACGCGTTTGCCAGCCCTAAATGCCATCGCTGAAACATTCCCTTGGCATGCTCCACCCCGAGCCAACAGGCACCCCAAGGCCACACATCAATGGCTTCTTATGGGCGTCCAAGCCTGCCAGCCCTTAAATCCCTAAAACCCCTCAAAACCCTTAAAACGTTTCCAACAGGCACCCCAAGGCCACACATCAATGGCTTCTTATGGGCGTCCAAGCCTGCCGTTTGCCAGCGCTTAAACCCCTAAAACCTTCAACACCCTTAAAACGTTTCCAACAGGCACCCCACGGCCACACATCAATGGCTTCTTATGGGCATCCAAGCCTGCCGTTTGCCAGCCCTTAAACCCCTAAAACCCTTCAAACCCTTAAAAACCCGCAAAACCCTTACACCCTTAAAACCTTTTCAACCCGTCCTCGGGGTCCAAGCCTGCCGTTTGCCAGGCCTTCAACGCGTTTGCCAGCCCTAAATGCCATCGCTTAAACATTCCCTTGGCATGCTCCACCCCGAGCCAACAGGCACCCCAAGGCCACACATCAATGGCTTCTTATGGGCGTCCAAGCCTGCCGTTTGCCAGCCCTTAAACCCCTAAAACCCCTAAAAACCCTCAAACCCCTTAAAACGTTTCCAACAGGCACCCCAAGGCCACACATCAATGGCTTCTTATGGGCGTCCAAGCCTGCCGTTGGCCAGCCGTTAAACCCCTAAAACGCTTAAAACCCTTAAAAACCCTCAAAACCCTTAAAACCTTTACAACCCGTACTCGGGGTCCAAGCCTGCCGTTTGCCAGGCCTTAATGCAGCCAACAGGCACCCCAAGGCCACACATCACATCAATGGCTTCTTATGGGCGTCCAAGCCTGCCGTTTGCCCAACAGGCACCCCAAGGCCACACATCACATCAATGGCTTCTTATGGGCGTCCAAGCCTGCCGTTTGCCAGCCCTTAAACCCCTAAAACCCTTAAAAACCATCAAAACCCTTAAAACGTTTGCCAGGCCTTAATGCAGCCAACAGGCTCCCAAGGCCACACATCACATCAATGGCTTCTTATGGGCGTCCAAGCCTGCCGTTTGCCAGCCCTTAAGCCCCTAAAACCCTTCAAACCCTTAAAAACCCGCAAAACCCTTAAACCCTTAAAACCTTTACAACCCGTACTCGGGGTCCAAGCCTGCCGTTTGCCACGCCTTCAACGCATTTGCCAGCCCTCAATGCCATCGCTTAAACATTCCCTTGGCATGCTCCACCCCGAGCCAACAGGCACCCCAAGGCCACACATCAATGGCTTCTTATGGGCGTCCAAGCCTGCCGTTTGCCAGCCCTTAAACCCCTAAAACCCCTAAAAACCCTCAAAACCCACAGGCACCCCAAGGCCACACATCAATGGCTTCTTATGGGCGTCCAAGCCTGCCGTTTGCCAGCCCTTAAACCCCTAAAACCCTTCAAACCCTTAAAAACCCTCAAAACCCTCTCTATCCATCTATCTATCTATCCATCCAGCTATCTATCCATCTATCTCTCCATCTACCTATCTGTCTATCCAACTGTCTATCTATCTATCTGTCTATCTCTCTCTCTCTCTATCTATCTCTCTACCTATCTATCCATCCATCCATACATCCATCCATCCATCCATCCATCTATCTATCTCCCTCCCTCTGCAGGACCCCCCAAATAGGGGGGGTCGGCGGCACCCGGGCGCTAGCCCATTCTATTACTAAGGGTCATTTGATCTAGTTTATTTGTGCACATATGTGGAAATCATTCTTAATTACGAGTGAAAACATCTTTTTGACATGAAACCACAATTTTGAGTGGTACCCTCTGGTAAACAAACAGTTTGCGAACTGGAAAATGGCCCAGTCGAAATAGTTGATTTGTCCATTAAACATGGTGGATCTTTCCATCGTTTTTTGTAAACGTTTACCAAAGGGTACCATCTGGTTATGACTAACAGTTTGCCATGGAAAATCACCATTTCCAATAGGTAAACCTCTATACATGGGCAATTTCCCATGGCTATGTAACAAATAACCAGAGGGTAATGATGATTAACCATTGGAATGGGGGTTGCTGGGATGATGACATTACTAGTGATTATGGATCATTCCCGAAAATTCCCTACGTTTAGCACCAGTCAGAAAAGAAACCATTTTCATCATTAATCACCATCATTAACCATCATTAACCATCATTAACCATCATTAACCATCATTTTTATCAAAGAAATCCTCCCCATTTCCTAATCCCCATGGTCGTTTCCCAACGGTGAATCCATGGGAAAAACTCCGCTCCAGAAAGACTCTCTTCTGCAGCTTCATCACCGCCTTCAGATCCGAGCGATGCGTAAATCTCAACATCTCCTGTGGACACCGGGAGGCTTGGATTAAAGAGGGATTTAAGAAGGACACATGGTGATATCATGTGGACATGGATATATATATGATATATCATATATCAATATATTTATAATATTATATATATATGCATACATGTGTCTGTAATGTGGTGGATTGTCTTGGCAATTTGGCTGTGAACATTTGAGATTTACTTCGCAATTTTCAGAGGGAACACAATGATCAACCAGTGACAAACCCGGCAGGGAAACGTATGGGGCTTTGAGAACAAACACCAATTATCAATGGATTTAAAACATGTTTTGTATACCAGTGGCTAAGTTACTGTTCATCTTTTTCTATTGTAAATTGAGTCGGCGAAGTTACTGTAATATACTTACCGTAAAAAAAAAAGCAAATCAATTTTTGGCAATCTTACCTGCAGCACGCCATCTTACAGCAACCATGGTCTTCTGCTTCCTGGGTTCCACATGGAAATCACTCCCGAAATTGTTTCCCCGTGGTGCGCAAATCATATGTTGTCATCCCAAGAAAAAAAAGGTAAAATACCACTATCTGATTTGATCATACTAGTTGGTTGATAGGTTTCCCTACTACGAGGTATCACAGGTATCAGAATCCCCCATAAATAAAAGCTAGTATTTGGCAGTATAACTGTATAACATTATATAAGTATGAATAATCCCCAACTAATCCCCAATCACTCATAATCATTCATAATCGCCATAATTCGGTAGTATAATATAGTATAATCATTATAATCCCCAATAATGTCAACCTGGATTAATAAACCCCAAACGGCTGTTTAATTGGGAGGGTACCATTAAAAAAGTATCAGATAATGACTATTGGAGGAGTACCACCCTAATTAATAAACCATGGTTTATTAATCCGGGGTTGACATTAATCCCCAATACCCTCTGGTAAACTAACATAACTATGGAAAATCAGCATTTTATAGCTGGGTAAATCAACTATAAATGCCAATTTTCAATAGCTATTTTGACATAACCAGAGGGTAATGCCCAAATAATACAATATAAGTCCCAACAAAATCCACCAAGTTCACAGCTGGAAAGTTGACTCGCCGCCGAGCAGCTGAGGTGGCTTGCTCCCGAAAAATTTCCGGAGGCATAGCCACTTTGCCTTAGAAGCGATGCCCAACCAGGACCACCTGAACACATAGCCCATAGGATCCATGGTGCTGCTATATATGGTAACCTTTACCATCAATATACCTCCAATGTTAGCATATATACCATACATGGATCCTATGGGTAGAAAAAATGGTGAAACAATTGCGATGAACATTTCTTGAACCTCGGGATGTTCAAACATATGGCCAAAAATGGCGTGGTATCACATCAAATCCCTTCAAATCCTGGAATGCTGTACATCAAAGTACCACAGATGTTGATATCGGCCCTAGGTGAAATGGGTTGCCCACGAGAAATCGGTTACGTTGAGCACGTGACTTGGAATCGGGCCGCCATGTTGAGCAGCATCTTTATTTAACATATTTTAACATCATGCAAGGAATTTACAACTACCATCTGGTTATGACTAACATAGCCATGGAAAATCACCGTTTTTAAGTTCGGTAAACCATCTTTTTCTATGGGCCATCTATACCATGGCTATGTTGATCATAACCAGAGGGTAGATCTAAAATGCAAATAACAAATTAAAGTAGACGCATGATCCCCATAAATCATAGCAACTATGTAAAGATTGATTGAACAAACAACTTGGCTGATAGGATAGCGTGTTCAAATTTATGGGACCCCCAACAATTGGCCAAACCATGGGTGGATGCAATGAAAACCTAGGTTTCTAAACTGGGTCCATCTTCACCCCCAAAACTAGAATTTGCGTCTTCAGTTTCTATTCTTTTAGATATTAAAGATACAACGTGAGGCCCCGTTCGATAGGTAAGTTGGTTTAAAACTCCAATAACTATGGTTCATGGTACTTATAACGAACTAGTTACTGGGGCTTTTGTTAACCAACGTTCACATCACGTTTGGGGGCCTCACTAATTGTAAGATGGTGCCCAACATGGGTCCAGTTGAGAATGGACACAAAAAAAAGCTGACGGGACAAGCCGGCAATGCTCCCAATGACACTGGCGCCACTTGGACAAATTCCACACCTCAAAAGTCGGGAGAAAAATGCCAGCCCTAGTTTCTTGCTTCTGTTGTCATGTTTTCACGAGTTCAATAGTGTTCATTTTATTAAAAGATCCGCCGCTGAAACCAACCTGTTTCTCTTTTTTCGGCGAGTTGCAATTGTAGAACTCTGGGTCTGCGTCAGTTTTTTCTCTGTGGCCTGGCAGGACATGCAGGACATCGGTTCAAGTCATTGGAGTTGACTTCCATGAACAATTGCTTGGTAAGTGTGTGCTTGAATGGTATATGACATATATATATATACATACATATATTATGACATATGCCTTCAAATATGCTCCAAATAAAATGGTTTCATATTCCACCAACAAAAGCAACCATTCTCTAGTTGCTTTCCCTCTAAGTATGTCAGAATAGATGCCAAATAGAAAGTCAAAGTATATGCCAGAAAGAATGTCAAATAGAATCTCAGAATAAATATGTCATATACACTTCCAGATGGTATGTCAGAAACTATGTCAGAATGGTGTTTCAGGGTGGGGATCACTCGGAGAAAGTATTTTTTTCATTTATATGATATTTGATTTTATCCAGGATGACTATCTGGTTGGTGGTATACTTACCCCTCTGAAACATATTAGTCAGTTGGGATGATTATTCCCAATATATGGAACGTCATAAAATTCATGTTCCAAAGCACCAACCGGAATTTTTTCATTAACCATCATTAATTAAATTCATGAGCCATCATTAATTAGGTATGAATCATGCTTAAATCTCTACACTTTTCCCACAATGTTTTTTCCCACGCATAGAAAGGCAAATCAAATGGTTGATCTCAAGTAAAGGTCAACATCAAGAATCATCAAGAATACTGTATCCGTTAAATCACCCACACAATCATCATTATCTCCTATCAAAACCCTCTTGTTAATTATTTAACGCTATGGAACATGGACCATTCTCAGATAATCTATGATAATTTTGCCTAGAACCATCTAAAAACCGGTGATGTTTCCACAATCTCCAATCCTAAATCACCAACTCTCATCATCTCTGATCAACTCCCATCAAACAAGCCTCCCTGGAATCGCATCTATCGCACTGTCGCCTCCATCTTCCTCCATCTCCACACTTCGTTCGGATCCTTCGTCAATCCGCCGCGTGCCGCTGGCGCCGCTGGCGCCGCTGGCGCCGCGCATCGTGGACCACTCCGACTCCACTCGGCACCAGCCGCGGAGTGTGAAGGGCACCAGGTTCAAGTGGAGGAAACCGCAAGAAGGGGAGCTACCTGGGTGGAGCCTAGTCGAAACAACAGGATAACAACAGGATACCCAGTTTAATCCATCAAAATAGCTGGTTAACATATGAAAAAACACCATCAACATGAGGTGTTCACCCAGCAAGATAAGATGTTTACCTATCAAAATAGGGTGTTAACCAACCCAAACATTGTGTTTACTCATCAAACAATTTATCAACATACGGAAGAACAAGTGCTAACCTTTGGAACATATGAGGGTTGCAGCAGCAATTGCATATAAATGCTGCAAAGCTGGAACATATGGGGGTTTCCTAAAACATGGGTACCCAAAAATGATGGTTTTTCATGGTTTTTCTGATCTAAAATCCATCTATAAATGGAGGTTCCTCCATATGGGTATGGATCAATACCTATTAATACCATTTTTAGTGGGATGAACATCCATTTTCCAGCTATTTTGATGTTCACCAGGGGTACAAGGTTTTGACACACTGCCATATACCAACCTGGAGGCTACACCTTCAAATCCTTCAAGATTTGAGCTGCCAAACTTGCGAAAAAAAAGTGGCAACAATGAGCTGCCCGTGCAGCAACAATCGGGATGTAACTCTTCATTTCTCAAATTTGCGCAGCAAAAAGACACCCAAAATAACATCAATAACCAACGTGGATATTTTTCCATCTTTTTCTTTAGCTTCTTGGTGTGAAACATCATTCAAATCAGTCAACCACAACAACAATATGGCAGGTTTCTCGCAACGAAAAAACCGTTGCGCCGTTGCCCAGGGACAGGGTGGATGTTGGTGCACTGTGCGCGACTGGGACAAGGGCACATGGGCCAAGTGTCCGGATGGTCCATGGAACACCAGGAGATCCTCCTGCGATTTCGGGTGTGAGCTCTGTTTCTTATTCCTGGGATTTAAATGGGATTTATGGTGATTTAATGGGATTTATGGTGATTTAATGGGATTTACCATCTGCTTATGACTAACAGTTTGCCATGGAAAAATCCACCCATTTTTAAGAACGGTAAACCACCTATTTCGATTAGGGCCATCTATACCATGGCTATGTTAGTCATAACCATTGCTTATCCAATGTTGAAACCCAAGTTTCAAGCCGAGTTTTCCGAAAACACCAGACCTTCAAATGGCAGTTCATGATATTTCATTTCATTTCTGTCAGTGTTTTGATCGCAAAACAATGATTGCTCCTATGCTCATAAACCCATGACAACTCATAAATCTTGAAATCTTTGGCCGAAACTCATTGGTCGTGAGGGATTTCTCGGGATCTGTGTTGATCCCCCAGGTCATGCCATGGCTGATGAATAGATACTGTGGATGGGCCAGTGAAATCCTGCACCACCTGCCGTAACTATTGGATACTATTGGTACCCAGCCTGGTAAACGTTTACAGACATAGCGAACTTGAAGCCATGACCCAGTCTGGCCCAGTCGAAATAGTTGATTTATGGTGATTGACCTATTCAAAGTGGTGGATCTTTCCAGTTCGCAAACTGTTAGTTTACCAGTGGGTAACATTGTAAATAATGGGATCATGTGGGATAAGCCATCGACCAAACAGGTGCAGGATTTCGCAACTTCCATCAACCAACAGTCCCATAAAATGCGTCATCCTGGTGCCCCATATTCTGCGGTTTGGCGGTTTAGTTATAGCTAGTAATTGCTAGTACAATCAATTAGGGAATCTAATGGGTGTAATGTTTATGGTGCTTTATATAATTATCTAATTGTCTATATATCTATATATCAAGAAGCTTTTATAAACCATTATAAACCAACAACAAACAAATAACGGACACCAGCGCAAAACATACTTCCCTCCAGCTATCCTCACCCTTCATCATATCTTCCCTGACATTTTCAGGTGTCAAACTTTCGATGCGCAGGGTGCGAGTGCAGGCGTGCGAGTAGAACATGTGCATTTTCTTCAGAGCCAGGCGAAAGCTCTCCTGCCGAATCCAAGACTGCAATGGATATCTATTATAGTCTACTGGTTGGTGGTTTCAACCCCTCTGAAAAATATTAGTCAGTTGGGATGATTATTCCCAATACAGTAATTATATGGAAAAATGAAAAATGTTCCAAACCACCAACCAGTCTATATTGTATGGATTTATGGATTATTATATATGTCATTATATGTCTATATAGGGATAGTGAACTGGCTGCAAGTTGGTTTTCCGTGTCTTTTTCCTGGGGCAGTGTTCCTTGCTATTTGCTCACTTTTGGAGCTAACATGTCGAATTAGGAAATTTCGTGGTGGATTTTCTTGCAAACAAATACTCAACACATTGAAAACCAATGGAAATGCCCCCCCTTTTAACATCCAAATAGCTGGGATTTTTGGATGTTCATCCTCCACATATCCGCGGTACTAGTAGATTTGAGGAAATTTGATGGTGTAAGAGGGATTTAACCAACCCCTCAAAGGTGACTCCCCCTGATTCGCAATTATCCGTGGTTGTCAGTTGCTATCCCTTAAGAGACCATCAGACCATTGGGTGTGGTCACTGTTGTTGGGGTGGTTGCTTGAATAATTCATCATGGTAAATTTGTTGCACAACAAAAAACAAACCTTTTTTTTGGACTTGAGCGCGCATCCGACAATGAAGGCGGTAGCTGTAAAACATGAAACACCAAGGACACAATGTGGTCAAACCGTCATAGACCACCAATGCCATCACTGTCTCCGTTGTGGAGTTGATAAATGAATATGAGTAGGCTAGATTAGACTAGTGCATACCCCAACGCCCAGAAAGCTTTTTCTGTATGTATTGACATCTGAAATCTGAGCTGACGTTCATGGTGACATATGATCTCGCTTCGATGTAACGATATATCATTTATCCATCCCAACTGTGATGTGACCCAGAATCTGACATACCCTCTGGTAATTTAACATAGCTATGGAAAATCCCCTTTTTGAATGGGTAAATCCACTATTTCTATGGCAATTTCCAATAGCAAACTGTTAGTTTCCCAGAGGGTAATGAACTGACAAAAAGTATCGAAACGTTCATTGCCCGACCAGATTCCACCCCACCGGAGAGCGAGCAAGTTGTGTCAGAACGTGCCCACCGTTTTACCACCATTTACCACTGATCTGTCCTCCTCATGTCCACTTGAGCGCTGGAATTGGAAGACCGACAGGTAGTCGTAGAAAAGCCACTGTTGGGCCTGGGTAAATGGCGTCTAAAAATGGCCAAAGACTATCATGCTTCGGTTGTTTTGGGATGCAATTCTTGGTGGCAACTATGCAGCAGCATCCTCGGTAATACCCTCCAAGTCGGGAAAAGAATTCCACTTCTGACTTCAAATTGGTTCGTGATTAGTTCAGAAGCGAACTCATCAATCTATATTCACGCATATTAAGCTACAATCTATCTCTACCCACTAAATATCCCGAAACATCCCTAAATCTTCCTAAATCATGTGGAGGTTCCCAAAATGAAGAAATCCCAAGTCACCATGGGTTTCGATGCTAATTTTATGTTCATCCATGACTTGGATCATGACTGGGGTACACCCTATTTTAGGAAACTTCAATTTATCTGGCTAAATTCTCATATGTTGCTAATCTATCTGGATAAATTCTCATGTTTCGCTAATTTGAAACAATATTTCTAACTACTATAATCCAGATAGATTAACAACATTTTGTGATTGTTACCCTTACTATTACTAATTATCATTAATCTTTTGGGAGAGTTACCCTTACAAACCATTGTTCCAGTGAGGTCATGACGTGAGGCCACAATTAAGTTTACCCAGATGTGTGTAAATATCCATTGTAATGAGGATTATATTAATATATCACATACATAATACAATACATAATATATATATAATTATATATATAATATGTACAATATGTATAATATCTATGATATGTATAATAAGTATGATATGCATAATATGCATAATATGTGTAATTTATATGTAATATGTACCCCCATTAACCAATGGTTTCCTGGATTTTTTTTACCCATCCAGTTGGGGGTCTTCATCCATCGCAAGCACCTCGTAGGCCACGTGCTGAAGGGAGGTGAAATTCACCAAATGTTCCAGCCTCGGGCTGAACCACATCATTCTAATTGGTGGTTGAGCCACCCCCGGAAAAATATTAGTCAGATTGGATCATCATCCCAACTATTGGGGAAAATATGAAAGTCAATAAATAAGCATCTTGAAAAATATGAATTCGTCAATGGGAAGGACGACATCCCATATATGAAATGGAAAATAATCCAGCCATGTTTGAAACCACCAACCCGCATTTTCACCATTAACCAACATTAACCATCATTAACCATCGTTAACCATCGTTAACCATCGTTAACCATCATTAACCATCCACAAGAAAAAAACAATTTTTATGAGGAACGTGATGATAAACTGAACATGTTAAAATACGACGATGATTTTTAGAGCCCCAAAAAGAGGACGAGCCACGCGTCGCATCGCGAAACGCGTTTTCGCACAGTGGCCAGAAAAACGGCTGCAGTGTTTCGTTTTTTTTCTGTGCCCTTCAGCAGTACCCTCTGGTTATGTCAAAATAGCTATGGAAAATCACCATGCTATTAATGGGTAAATCTACGATTTCTATGGCAATTTTCAATAGCTTTTTGTATGTTTACCAGAGGGTAGGATTTTAGGATCACCAGCTACTGCCTTGATCTCTGGGACATTCACCGGAAACCATGGGTGTTTCAACCCCCGTTTTAAAGGGGGTGTTTTGGCTGTGTTTTTTTGCCGAGATTTGCCCCCTAAGGCATCACCAAAAGGATCAGCATCCGAAGTAGGGATGGAACACATTAAAACAAACATTTGAGTTATCAACCAAATCAAATATAGTTTGATATAGTTTGTTTTTTTTTGCATTCATCTCTGGGGTCAAATATCGTCAAATCAGATCAAATCAGCCAAATCCATACATCTTTTTGCATTGGCTTGTTGATTCTCTTGGGTTAGCCAGCAAAGAGCATTCATAGACAGTGACATATTTACAGAAAAAACCACCATTAAACATGAGCAGTGTTCAACCCTGTGTCGTCCCATTTAGACAGCAAGACGGGATTCCCCCAATAGATTCTGATATATTCATTATGTTCTAGATTTTGCTATGATATTGGTTAGTATAATCCCAAGATATCCCAAGACTCATCTCAGACTCATCTCATCAACAACCGGGCTGCTGATGCCGAAAGGGATCCGGATGCTCCCGCATCTCCCAGCAATGCGACACCGCCCAGATGAAGGTCGTCGAGGTCGAGGTTGCCATGCTCTCTGCCCAGGACTCGACTTCGCGATGTGTGACGAGGGCTGAGAGCTGGTGACCTGAGGCGCTACTCCGAGTTATTCATGGGATTGAGTAGGATTTCATGGAAGATTTCATGGAAGATTTCACGGGGTTTCTGTGTGGGACATATGAATGGCATATTTTTATTGGGATTTTTCATCCTCACCGAATTTTTGCACCCCATCCCAGCAGTTGGGCGGCTGTGTTTTTTTGGGGATTTCCGAGTTATCCCGGCTGTGCCAATCTATAGATTCCATAGGGGATTAATGAGATTATAATGAAATTAATGAGATTAATGAGATTTTCATGAGATTAATGGTAATGATTATCTTCTTGGGATATAGTACCATCAATTTTAACCATTACCATTACCATTCAGTGATCTAAAATCTATGGGTAAGGACCAGCCCTTTTTCATCGATGAAGCCATGGATCTCGGATCCAAGAGGCCACCTTGAGGTCGAACCGTAACATGGCCATGAGCGACCGTTTAAAACAATCTCCATGAAGTTTTCCTACCAATTTATGATTTAACATGGTTTAACATAGTTTAACATCTCTAAAGAATCTCTTTAACGTTTCACGATTTTTCACAAAACCAGTTTCAACATCGCCAAAAAACGCCCCATTTTCCTCCAATCCTCCCATCCTCAGCTCTGGTTGCGACCTGGGGACCGTTGCACATCACAACCTCTTCTTCTGCCTCTTGCCGCCGCGGCAAGCTCCGCTGCTGTCGCCAGAGCTGCCACAGGAATTCCGCGCGGACCAGGCGGATGTCGCTGGTGACCAGGTACTCAGCCAGCGCCCAGGGGTCACGCAGCTGATCCTGAAGCTGAAAGATGGGAAGCTCTGAATGAATCATTGGGAGATCCTTTAACAAACTACATGTTTTTGGTGGCATATAATTGATATATATATATAGAACCAACTTGATATAAATTGTGTCAACAAAAATTGTTCCCCCAAAAAAGGGACTGAGTGCGAAATCATGAGCCAACCGGATTCTCTTTCAGAAGTTGGGTTTGTTGGTTTGTTCACCTTTGGATCTATGATTCCATGAAGGTTAACTAAGACTAAAACATATATGGCAGTGTGTCAAAACCTTGTACCCCTGGTGAACATCAAAATAGCTGGTAAATGGATGTTCATCCCCCTAAAAATGGTATGTATAGGTATTGATCCATAGCCATATTGGTGGATCATGGCTAACCAATACAGCCAACTGTCTGGATGTTTTTGGGTTTGTTGGTGAACATATACTCCCATATGAATAAATTGCTAGTCCCTTCCCTACCCATATTCTAGTTGCACATTCAGAAAATCAGTGGTCAGTGGTCCAAAACATGTCTAAATATTGTGGAATTTGCATGTCTAGGTTGAATTACTGGAGGTAAGTTCTTTGGATCCCTCACATGGCAAGTTGGACAATCAACCACCCACATGTCTCATAGGTTCCTTGGAGTCCCCCAGCAGTTGATGAGTGCTCACATATATATATATATATACATACATATACATATACATATATATATATATGAATATAGTGATATTGCGTGATGTATATGTACATCGAGCTTCCATATGCATATATATATATATAGTATATTTCATTTAAAAAAACTCATCACACATCAAGAGGCGATACATAATTTTCATCCCCAAATGGTTTCCTAAGTCATGGAGGGTACCAGTTATCCAAGTCATTGGTCCTCTTTCAATTGAAACAACCAGGGTGACTTGGCTATTCAGTTTTTTTTGGAACACCCCTGCATCAAAATCCCATAAATCAATGGATTGGTTTCAGGGAAATTTGGAAAATCTATGGTTTCCGGTTAAGATTTTCCCAAGAAAACCAATCCATTCATTAAAGAGAAGACCGCAAAACAATGGCTCTTAGCATCTCTTACCCTCTGGTAAACTAACGTAACTATGGAAAATCACCATTTTTAATGGGAAAATCCACTATATATGGCCATTTTCAATAGCTATTTTGACATAACCAGAGGGTAGCCCATGTCCATCCATTTCCCAGGCGCATCTCCTGGTTTCGTTGGTACAACTCCTCCAGGCGCAACAAGCCGCGGCGACGTTCTGGCGCGCAAGGGCGCCATGCCGGGACCCGGGTCGGACCCTAGGGACCCTAAACCTGAAGAACGTTAAACATAGACGTAATGGGACGATACATAGAATATCATAAATATTTACGTATACATCATATTTCTGAATCATATATTTCTTCACTATTCTCAAGACTGTTCCGCAAAGGATCCACTGAGATAAGAATCATATATTTACATTCTATTAATTGATAACATTCACGTAGCTATACATATCTACAATTATCTACATATATTATTCTATACAAATGTATGTATAGCTATGGGTTGATATGATACACACATTTCTTTAATCTCACATGTTTACACATACATAGCATGAAAGTGTGCCGGCTGATGCTACAGAGGTGATTGGCTCCTTGGCCAACTCATGGCAGGTCCCCGAACGCTCTACCATCCAAAGCCAGGATGACTCTCTGAATATAGGATACCCGGCCTGGTTATGTCAAAATAGCTATTGAAAATGGCCATAGAAATAGTGGATTTGCCCATTGATAGCATGGTGATTTTCCATAGTTATGTAAACGTTTACCAGAGGGTATCTGAATATCTCATATCTCTACGTCAAATGGTTCATCATTTTCTACAAAGCGATCACACGTTATTCATCACTTTGCAAAGATTTCTTTTTGAGAAAAAACACACATATGTTGCATTAATACAAACATATCATGAACATATGTAACAACAAAATCATGATTTTTTATCCCCTCGATCTTCCAACCAGTTCTTCCCATGTGAGGGCGACAAAACAAGGTGCTGGTGATTCAGTTTTTATTGCTGGTTTATAAGTTGATGAATCCCATCATCACTGTACTGCCATACACCAAGCAGTTGTCACCTCGTTTTTCCGCAACTGGAGGTGTCCAATTCATGACACTACCCCATGGTACCAAACATCATCCGATGGATTTGAATTTTTCACCATCCAGCTATTGGAGTAGAATGTGAGGCCCCCGTTCGATAGCGTTCAGTTGGTGAACATAACTCCAATTTCACTCTGGTTTATGGTACGCAAATAACGAACTAGTTACTGGGGCTTTTGTTAACCAACGTTCACATCACTGGGGGGCCTCACAGTGTAATAAAAGAACACTGGTTGGTGGATTAACTATGGTTTATGATAGATATAACTATAGTTAATGGGGATGATAATGGTTTATAAGCCAACAAACATCACTGGGGGGCCTCACATTGTACCATTGTGACGACCTGCCTGAGTTGACCTCATAGTCCACCCAACAGGTGCCATTCGTCGTTTCAATCTCTGCCTCCCATTCCGGCGCAAAGCTGAGAACATCATCTGTGGGGAATTCTGGCATCACGTGCCCATGGAGGTTTTCATGTTTTATAACTTACGATTACGATTCTTTTGAGAATTGGGAATTAGAAAAAAACATCGTCACAGTGGTTCGCAAGTGTTCCTCATGGTTCAATTTGCTCAACTTGGGGACCAAACATGCACGTAACTACCAAACTTGGGGATCTATTTAAGTCTAAAAAACTATCATCAACTATCATTATTTGGAGGATCTAGGCCATATTCTTGGGAAATTTGGTGAGCTATTCGCGGCCTAGTCATCTTGGAGGAGAAAATCAACGGTGCGGTTAATCACGGTTAATCCTCATCGTCAAGCAACAAAGAAATGATGAGACTTACCCGAGATATGGAAGATTATAATCCAAGAATTCCCGCATGAATTTGGAGGATTTCAGCGACAATTTCAGCTCACAGCACTTGGAATTTACCCTCTGGTTATTTAACATAGCCATGAAAAATCCATTATAACTGGAGGTGAAAATCATCTATAAGATAAATAACTAAGGATTGGAGACCTGATTTGTTTGGAGGCTAGACAAGTGGTGGACAAGCAAGAAAACCCCTACCATAGATAAAAACTAAATGGCTAAATGATCCTAAATATAGCGATTTCATGTGATGTCTATATATTTCTGTATCACCATTACACATCATTAATTACACTATAGACACTACTCTTCTAAATCACCCAGAAGCGTAAACACGTCCCTTTGTCCCGTTGCCGTAATGCATGGCTCGGCGCAAGTCTGGCGTGAACCACTTCTCCTTCGCAGCGTTCGTGCAAAACGGCATCTCCAACCTCCCGAAGGGCTCAAAACTTGGAGATCAACATGGCCCAACCCTTGAAAAAGGTGTGGGTCTGCGTATGTCTGTGTGTATCATGTATATATATATATACATATTATATGCATATTATATGTGTAGTATGACATATGAAATTAGCATTTTAAAAGATATGTCTGTTCCGAATGGCTTACGTTAACGGTGGATTGAATTGGATTGACTTTTGATCTGCAAACAAGGAACGACGGAAACCATCAGAAACCTCGAAAAAGGTGAAACTGGGGGCTGCAACAAGAGGACTATGGCCAAGAAATGCCAAGAATAGTGAGCAAATAGTGAGCTTAAATGAATATAAACAACAAATTGATGGCAGTGGTCTTAAAGTCTTAGCAGAAAAGTTCACAGCTCATTGCAATTGGTTGACATGAAGATGGACAGGTGAGGTCCCCTGCAACAGAATTCTGGATCCATGCTCAATTCCAAACCTATTTTTCATAGCTTTGTTTTTTGCCTTTGTTCGAAACATTTGGATACTTTTCTTGACAAACAGTATGTTTCATCATGTTTCTATGGGAGTTTCCTAAAATGGTATCTCAATAGCTGGATTTTTCATGAACAATCCGGAAAAAAAAACCATCCGGAAAAGAACATGGATGATTTAAACAACAATTAAAATGATGATAGTTGTTCTAAATCACCATTGTTTTTTGGATGATAGCCCTAACTATTAGATGGAAAAGAACATCATCATCTTAATTAAAATGGATGATTTATAATGATTTAGATTCAATAATTCGGGCTATCCCCATTGAAAAAAAACTCGAAATGTGGGGAGGCATCCAGCCTGGCAGCCTGGCTCTGCCCGGCCTGCAATTGTTGGACCCTGTCCATAGCAAGGCGCAAAAAGATCAAAAAGCTGAGCCGCAAAACAAATAATCGAAGTTGGAAGAATTAAATGGCCTAAAAAATATCTACTCTCTGGTTATTTAACATAGCCATGGTATAGATTACCCATTTATAGATGGTTTACCTGGGTTTACCTAGAAAAAATGGTGATTTTCCATGGCTATGTTAGTCATAACCAGATGGTATGTGTTCTGAATGATGCAAACAAAATGGCAACTTACATTTATGCCATATGTTTGCCCCAATTTCCAACAGCATTTCGAACTTCGAACATCGATTGATGCTGGATCCTCCATGATTTCAGTGCTGAAGCCGGCCGCCGGCGCATGAGATCCCAGATAAAACCGGTGATCACGGTGATCGGTACCTGGAAATGTCCGGAGGCTGTTCCGCAATTCAATACCCATAGGATCCATGGTGCTGGTATATATGCTAACATTGGGGGTATATTGATGGTAAATGTTACAATATATCGCATACATGGATCCCCTGGGATAGGGAAGTGAATTCAATAGGGAATTAATGGTGATTAATGGTGATTAATGGTGATTAATGGTGATTAATGGTGATTTAATGATGGTTAATGATGATTAATGATGGTTAATAATGGCTGGTTGGTGGTTGAGCCACCCCTCTGAAAAATATGAGTCAGTTGGGATTATTATTCCCAATGGAAAAACAAAATTATGTTCCAAACCGCCAATCAGTACATCAATATACATAACTATATGGAAAGATCCACCATTTTATAGCTGGGTAAATCAACTATTTCGACTGGGCCATGGCTTCAAGTTCGCAAACTGTAAACGTTTACCAGAGGTAAACATGAATATACCCTGCAGGACCGACAGCTTGCCATCGAAAATCACCATTTTTCACAACAAAAAACGGCGCCTCTGGGATGATTCAGGATTCCCTGCTAGGCATGCCACGCCAAAATGTGGCAGTTCTGGTTTACCGTAAAGCGCCAAAAAATATATGATTTATCCGAATTTATCCAACATAAATATCTGAAAAATCTATGAATCTCAAATGATATCCAGAAACATCCATAAACATCCATAAACATCCTCACCCAACATTACCTATAAGAATCTACAAATCCAACAAATCCAGCCGCAGCCATTTTCCCGCAGGCTGCGACCCACATCAACATGATGGTTGAAGTCGCATCTGGGCGGGGTCCCAGGTTCCGAAGATGGCGGCGCATCGGTACCATGGAGAAACGGGTGGGTTCTAGTACCACGTGGCTCCACATTTAACGTCCTTTAGGTTTCCCAAAACGTGATGTTTTTGAAAGAGAAAAAGTGAAGAACCGTCAGAAAATATACATGGGCATACATGGGCCGGATAATCAAGCTGCAAATCTAGGATGCTTCGCATTCAAGAATACGGTCAAGGCCTGTGTGTGTGTAGAAAACTAGAACACAAACATTATAAGAAATCATACCCTACTTTGGTGAATCTGAAGTATCTAGACTACAGATTGGACAAAAAAACATGTTGATATATGTTGATGATATCTTTAATAATCTTTACCATAATAATACTACCATAATATACCATAATAACTGGTTGGTGGTTTCAACCCCTCTGAAAAATATGAATGTCAGTTGGGATGATTCTTCCCATATATTATGGAAACATAAAAAATTTCCAAACCACCAACCAGATAACATTACCAAAATAACACTACCATAATAACAGTGTGGTTTTGGTGATCTTTGAAGTCTAAGCCTGTCGAGAGGTGGCCAGGAAGAAAGGGGTGACAACGACATTTCTGGGTTGAACATAGCAACCCATCAAAAAAAAACAATTTATAGAGCCTAGATTCCACTTTTTTCAAACATTGTGATTAAAACATATTAAAACATCAAAAACGTTTAGAGTCTCACAAAGGCGATCTTTTCACATACCCCTGAGTTTGTTTCTTTGGTTTTTGGTTGGTTAACATGTTGCTACCAAAAAAAACGCTAGAACAGGTGACGGACATTGACCGATGGTTTTTGTTCGAAATGTTGAAAAAATATCGTTACACATGGCGAATCTTGTTAAAGGTTAGTATGATTTTACCATCCCCAATATGGGTGGTATACACCCATAAAATTATGGCGGCTTTCTTGTTGCTTAATTAGATACACTGCGTTGTATTGTAGTTTCTTATATTCTGCAGTCCAGATGGCAAACAACTTCGGATGACCTACTCTTTACAGTACATCGGTTTACCCAAATTTGCCCACAGATGCCCACGTATCTTTGAGGTGCTGAAAGGGAAAACATGCCATTTCTCACAACTGAGGCGGCCGTTGCTGAATTGGGATGCATGCCCTCTATTAGATATTGGATAGATATGGAGGTTTCTGGATTTTTGGAGCCTTCATAAAATGGGATTACAATTCAATCATCCATTTTCGATTGGGATTTTCCATGAAATAAACCATCCAGCGATTTATTGGGGTACCCCCCATTTTTTCCGGGGGACTCCCCAGTCGTCATCCACGGCACCGGAGAACACCGCGGCTTTCGCGGTGACAAAACTGGCGCGTACTGGTGGCAGGAGGGTAGGCTAACGGACATCAGAAAACCTCTGATCATACTGACTTTAACCATGTTTCACCAATATCATGGTGAATAAATGATGCATATCATGCTATAAATATGAGAATTTGTAGCATTTTGTAGAATGAGTTCATAATTTTTCAAAATGGATGTTTATCAGCGATTGTTATTGGGGACCATCATTCCATGGTTGAATCCTAACCAGCAACCAGCAACTACTACATCTTTCTGGCCGATTTCATCCTTCCATATTTACCATCATCTTTACCAAGCATTGAATGTTTTCTTTACGTCGTCTAAAACTCCATTGTTCAATCCTCTAACCCATGACGGATCCATGGTGCTGCTATATATGGTAACATGGATCCCATCAATATACCCCAGACATGTTAGCATATATACCAGCACCATGGATCCGTCATGGGCAATTAAATGGGACATTCATGATAAATTCATGTATACATGTGGGGGTTTCCTAAAATGGCTATGCCGCTATGCCCCTTTTTTTGTTGGGGCATAATGATGATGGAAAATCCGTCAAAATCAATGGATGATGGATTTGGGGGTAGCCCCATGACTTAGGAAACCTCCATTTACCACCTGGTTATGACTAAAATAACTATGGAAAATCACCATTTTTAATAGGTAAACCGTAAACCATCTATTTCTATGGGCCATCTATACCATGGCTATGTTAGTCATAACCAGAGGGTACAAAGAGCTACCTTTACTTACCTTGTCGACACACGCACTCTGCAACCTCCACACGCAGTCTGTGCACGCCCTGCAGGACGTTGGAGTTTCGACCCCGGCAGCATCGCGAGATGCTGGGACCGTCGCATTTGCACCAACAAGTATGGCATTTGTTTCAGCCCAGTGGAACTGACGAATAATATATAACACACACATATATATATATATATATATTCATAGAAATATATACATTATATATATATATTAATATAGTTTAATATATAATTTAATATATAATTTAAAATATGTATATATATATATCATATCATTATATGCATACATATTCTAATCTAATATAAATATACGGCAAATGCCTGGGCTTTGCCCAGACCCGCAATGACGACAGGCGACGGATCATCATCATCATCATCATCATCGTCGTCGTCATCGTCATCATCATCATCAGAATTAAACCCTTTTTGAAGTTCTTGAATGAATGTAGAAGTTTAACGGGGGTGGGAGAATTAAACCCTTATTGAAGATCTTCAATGAATGTAGAAGTTTAGCGGGGTGGGAGAATTAAGCCCTTATTGAAGATCTTCAATGAATGTAGAAGTTTAACGGGGGTGGGAGAATTAAACCCTTATTGAAGATCTTCAATGAATGTAGAAGTTTAACGGGGGTGGGAAAATTAAACCCTTATTGAAGGTCTTCAATGAATGTAGAAGTTTAACGGGGGTGGGATAATTAAACCCTTTTTGAAGATCTTCATTGAATGTAGAAGTTTAACGGGGGTGGGAGAAGTAAACCCTTATTGAAGATCTTCAATGAATGTAAAGTTTAACGGGGGGTGGGATTTTTATATTCCCTAGTACCTTTGTTGTTTTTCCCAAAGGAACTTTGTGAAGTTGCATCAACAATCATCAACATTTGTTTGGTAATGGGAAACCTCTACGCTGCAATGCCTGGGCAAAGCCCAGGCGTTGCGCGTAAATATATGTACACGTATGTATTGTCTATGTTCGCCTTCAGGTGGTAAGGCCATGCTCTCTGCTTGCGAAGTTTGTATACCTTGCTGGAGACCAACACCAGCGAAAATCGATTCTTTAATGCTGTGAACCCAATGAAAAACAATCCCTAAATCATCCCCACAATGTGAGGCCCCCAAGATAGCTAAGTTGGTGAACATAACTCCAATTTCACTCTGGTTTATGGTACTTATAACATCTTATAACGAACTAGTTACTGGGGCTTTTGTTAACCAACGTTCACATCACGTTTGGGGGCCTCACATTGTAAATCATCCCCAGATGGTCTCCATTTCCATCTTGGAGTACGGTGCACCTGTCAACGGAAGCCAGCACCCCAGCGAGCTATACATGTCGACTCGGCGGCGCAGCGAAGTTTTTTTCACATGCGAACTGTATAGACGCCGAGCACAACGGACAGCTGGGGTCAGGAACTCATTTTACACATCGGTCTGAGAAGGAAAGGGCTTATAGTAGTTTAGAGTTTATAATATTTCTTGGTGGTTTAGTTTCAACCCCTCTGAAAAATGATGGAGTGAAAGTCAGTTGGGATGATTATTCCATTCCCAATATGATGGGAAAGTCATAATCCAGCCATGTTCCAAACCACCAACCAGCTGATCTTGTTGGTTTATAAACCATTGTCATCCCCATTAACTATAGTTCTATCTACCATAAACCATAGAATTCATCCACCAGCCAGTTACAATAGTTTCACTAACCTGAATTAAAGCCATTTTGGGATGATTTCCCTTACTAATTATAATAGTTTCTATAGAGCTTCCCTACAATGATGATACTCCCATCCAGTCCATCGACCACATTTTTCCAAACCCATGGCGATTTTAAAGAAACCATCTCAAAGAAGTTGATCGAAGATCATGTACCTCTGTTGATTTGATTTAGAATGGGTACTACGGTACAATATCTTCGAATGGAACATTTCTTGTACCATTTTACCTAAATTTTGATTACCAGATTTCCTTCCAACTTTCTTGGGGGGTTCCTAAGTCGTGTCATGGGGCCATAGGGGTACCCCCAAAATTCATCGCTGGATGGTCAAAATTTCATGGAACATCCGGAAAATGCTGATGATTTATCATCAATCATATTAATCATATGGATTCATATGGTGGTTTCCTAAGTCATGGGGGTACCTCTTTATCGCTGGATGGTTATGGAATGTTATGGAAATCCATGGAAAATCCCATGGACAATATCTATGGATGATCACTGGGGGAGTATCCCTATGACTTAGGAAAGCTCCGGAAACTTCCCACCAGCCTCCCTATTAGTAAAGGGGGTGTAAAAAAAATCGTGGAACGTGAGAATTACAGCTGGGTGAAACCACCAGATCCTGATTTTCAATTGAAGTTAACTGGAAGCCATGATCCGTTCGATGATTTACCCAAAGACTCCAAAAATGCTGCAAACTCTTAAGTTGATTTAAATTGCCTAAGGTGAAACTTTTTATTCTTTGGGTTCCTTCCAAGTTCCTTCTCAGATCAGCCTGTGATTGTGCTCCGCGGGCAGCAGAGACAGCCAGGACTTGGTGACTTGGTGACTTGGCATTCGGCAGCGGCTTTCGCTCTGTTACTTTGCAGACGATGTTTGCCCCAGGAATCGTCGTTCGGAATTTGCCCCAGGAACCGCGGGGTTTCTGTTTCAGTGGATCCGATCACGGGGAAAAATTGGGTCCCAACCAATAGCCTTTGATGGTCACCTGAGCCACCTGTGTTTTTGGGGCAGCTCTCTTTGTGTGTCACATAAAATTCCTTACGGTAGTTCAACAGTTTGCTGTGGAACATCACTATATGGTAATGTGGTATATAATTAATAGGTAAATATTATCGCTCATTTATGTATAAATAGGCAATTTCCATCCATTTTTCACAGCAACCGGTAAAACCTATCCGGGTCAACATCCGGATTTCCTACGGCTATTGAGCTTCTGAGGCCAGGGTGTTGCCAGGTTTAGATAGAAACGTGCGCTTGGACCAGGAAGTCTCTGTTGCGCTGGGGGCTTTGCTACCAAGTAATACCAAGCATTCCAAATGTAGAAGGGTGTTTTTTCTGACAGAATGCGCCTAGTGCAAAAAACAGAGTCCATAAAATGGGGCTCCCCTTTATCATCTTTATCGCTGGATGGTTTATTTCAAATCAATGGATGGTTAGTCATGTTTTTTTTTAAATCTGGTTATTTAACATAGCCATGGAAAATGCCTTACAAATGGAGGTTTCTAGCTGGGAACATCATCTATTTCGATTAGGGCCATCCATACCATGGCTATGTTAGTCATAACCACAAAGTAAAAATCCCATGATATCCCCTATAAATCCCCCATAAATCCCATGGAAAATCACCATAAATCACCATTAAACCATTATTATTAACCACTATGAACCACTATTAACCAGAGATTTTCCAGATCCCAATAAGCTTCGGAAAGCTCCGATGATTTTTGTCACACGATTCCCAAGAAGCCAGATCCATGGGATCGCCCGATGGGAGATCCTATGGGATCAACGGGTGTGTCGATGTTCAAACTTATCGAGCCGAGGGGCGATCGACCAGGTTTCTGATCGGATCTCGAGGATTTTCTGTGGCGATCTTCGGATCTTCACAAAACTACCCGGTTACCCTCTGGTAATGACTAACATGGTGGTTTAATGGGATTTAATGGGATTTAATGGGATTTAATGGTGGTTTAATGGGATTTAATATGATATAGCCTCTGGTAAACACACAGTTTGCGAACTGGAAGCCATGGCCCAGTCGAAATAGTTTGGATTTTCCCATTAATAGCCATGGTGGATCTTTCCAGTTCGTTATGTGACAGTTTACCAGAGGGTAAGAAACACAAAAGAACCGTACTTCAAGGAATCTCAAAATGGTTGGATGATGCTGGATGTAAAAAAAATCCCCCAGTTATGGTAATAATATGCAATGTGACGCCCCCCAGTTATAAGCTGGTTTATAAGCCCCAGGAACTATAGTTATAAGTACCATAAACCATAATTATTGGAGTTATGTTCACCAACTTAGCTATCGAACGGGGGCCTCACATTGTAGGTTTTGACCCGTCCCCAAGTAGATTCCCAAATAGTGGGTTAAGCAATGGGGAACAACAAGAATCTTCAGCAACTTGAAGCATTGAAGGTGCTGCTAGTGACATAGTTCATACATGTTCATAGCAGAATTCATCCATGTGGCTGAACATATAATATGCTCTTGATACCCCTTTAGAAAGTAATATTACCTAGAATTTCAATGAGACATCTTGAAACCATTCACATAGCTTACCTTAACCATCCCTCACCAGTCTGGTGGCCAAAAAAAAGGTCTTAAATACAGGTTGGTTTTGTCGTTGGTTGATAGGTTTCCTGTGGTTTCCTTACTACGGGCTATCACAATCCTCCATAAATTAGCTAGTACCCTCTGGTAATCATGGGAAAACTCACTATTTCGACTGGGCCATGTTCAATAGCTATGTAGCAGTCATTACCAGAGGGTTTTATATTACAAGTCCTAAGAAATTCACTAAATTCACCAACCAGGGACTCACCCTATAGCCTCGCTCAAATCCTTAAAGATCATCCCAGCGATTCGTCCCTTAAAATTCAGTCGCCACAGGATGCCGCGGGCGTGAAAAAAAAAGGTTTCGCCAGTGGCTTCATTTTGGGAACGACATGCTGTGCAACGGCCCGTGGCTTTGCATTGTCAAATTTTTAGTGCGGTCTTTTTCTGCCAAGAATGGGGATGGCCATAGAACTCCTATAGCTATTTTTGAGCTGACATAAGCAGTTCTTGTTGGGAGCATGAACTGCTTATTGCTGCAATAATACAACTTTTTGTTAGCCTTGCTCTGGTTCTTAGAATATCGCAGCTCCAAACCATTGCTAATGAGCTGCTCATGTGGTAAACCATGAAAAACCTCCACGGGTGATTGTTTTCTGATGGACCAACGATGGCCATGTGGGAAAATCATATGAAAAACGGGTTGGCAAAAAAAAGGCTTCCTCCGATAGCCATGTGATGTGAAACTTCCAGAGGGTAGTTTCATTAGTCAGTTGGGATTACCATCTGGTTATGACTATAGCCATGGAAAATCCCAAAAATAAATGGAGGTTTCTAGCTGGGAACATCATCTATTTCTATGGACCATCTATACCATGGCTATGTTAAATAACCAAAGGGTATTATTCCCAATATGATGGGAAAAATAAAAGCCATGTTCCAAACCACCAACCAGTCTTGGATACTGAGTATACTGTGCACTGTACACCACGTGTTCAATTTCTCGCAATCATATGAGTCCTCGAGAACCAGCTAATCCGCTAATCCTCATGAAGGAACCCCAAAATGAAGAGATCTAATACTACACCAACGTATTTCATTTGAGCCATTCTGAAAACCTTCAGTCACTCCCTATGTCGTATCATTTTGGGTACGCCAAAGCTTACGCCATGCTTACGCGCTTAGAGTTTTTCCTTACGCGAAGCAAATTGAGGAAACCCTTACGCGAAGTCCTTACGCGGCCTTACGCCAGCGAGGGTTTCGCTTACGCCAAACATGTTATGACAAGGCCCGTAGTGAAAATGTAAAGGGAGGTTTTTAGATCAGCTCATTTAGAGCAAAGGACTACACCCCTCTCTATTACGATACCATTTTGATACCATCCATGGTTTTTCCCTAAATTGTCACTACTCGTTCGGAACATCAATGGTTCCCTCACTGTTTATCAAGGCTTATCAAGGTTTACCAAAAGCAATTCCACTTCCAATTCTCCATCGATTGCAATTCAATCTGGTCAAACTCAGCCTTTCTGGCAGATTCCCAACTGTCAGTTGCATGCACATACTGAAATCAAACCAGGAAAACAACGCTATTCTGGTTCAACAGGCTTCAACAATGTCAGGGTGACGACAGATATGTTTTTATCTCATTTACATTAAGCAACCACCATTCCTTCGGCTTTCTTTCGTGGATTTTCTATGGCTTCCATTGGCTCCCCCCATCCATGGCACTGGCTCCGTTCGCCGTGAACCGCCGTTTCGGGCCGCCGTTTCAATAGGCCGCGCCGAAGCGTTGCGCTTGGGCCAGCGCTGAGACTCGCGGCTGCAGCTCCGGTTGCTGGCCGGCAGCTGTGCCAGCTGCGTTTGGCAGCGCCACTGGAGCCAACTCGTCCTACCAAAGAGGCCGTGGGGATCCACAGAAATGTGGAGCTTTCCATAGCTTTCCTAAGTCATAGAGGTACCCCCAGTGATCATCCATTTATAGATATTTTCCATGGGATTTTCATGGATTTCCATGACATTCCATAACCATCCAGCTACAGTATTGGGGTACCCCCATGACTGTGGAAACCACCATATGATTGATGAGAAATATCAGGATGATCGGATGATGCATGAGAATACTTCGGGATTGATCATGATTTGATCATGAATTTTCATAACTTCTGCTTTGAAGAAAATTCGGATTTCTGAGAAGAAAATTATCACTTAACATTTCAGGATTTAAATATTTTAAATCAAGTGAGGATAAACATAGGATAAACAATGATAAACAATGATAATGCAAAATTAAGCAAAACAATAAGTGAAGATGCAAATATCAAAAAATATGGAAAACGTGGGCATTGAAGAACCACAAGATGGGTATCTGGCAACATGGGGCCCCAGTTAGGTCGATTGATTCGCCAACAGTTTGCTTCATTTCTCCAAATAGATCCATAGATTATCATAGATTCCATGGGGTTTGCATATTAACTTATATTAACTAACTGGGAGGCACTTCCTACATGAACAACCTCAATTTATATCAATACATGGTCACTTTTGAAGGGATGATTCCAAGCATCGAAATTAAGGGGACCCCGTAAACTGAGACACCGAAAAAAAACGCACATGTTTCACCACCGAAAGGTTGAACTTAAGCATACTTAAGCCACATTTTTAGGGAGATTCAAGGTGTAAAACATTGTAAAACCACTGAACTCAAATGACACCCACAGCGCTGAAAATTCAGCATTCATCATTTTGTTCCACCATAGACTCAGTAGTTTGTTCCTCACTATACCCCAGAGGACTCAGAGTGTGTGCGCGTATCATGCTTCATAAATGGATGCTGACCCAATCATCATCCCAAGCACTCTCTGGCTATTCAACATAGCCATAGAAAATTACCATTCTTAATAGGTAAAGATAGGTAAATATCATCCATAAATGAACTAGTTTCCATAGCTATATGATGCTATATGTCAAATGACCGGAGAGTACGTAGCCTTTTTTCAACGACCCAGGGGAGCACAGATTTCGCCTCCCGATGATCCAAACGTAACATGCAGAAGGCGAGGAAGAAGAATGGGATGCTGACCTCCGGCTGGTTTCAACCCTTCCAACAAATAGAATTAGAACATTTACCCTCTGGTAATTTAACATGGCTATTGAAAATGGCCATTTATAGTGAGTTTTCCCATTAAAAATGGTGATTTTCCATAGTTAAGCAGCAAAAAGGTGATCTTTGTTTATACATGTTCTGGTTGGTGGTATACCTACCCCTCTGAAAAATGATGGAGTGAAAGTCAGTTGGGATGATGACATTCCCAACTGAATGGAAAGTCATAAAATTCCATGGTTCCAAACCACCAACCAGTTAATCTTGTTGGTTTATAAAACATTATCATCCCCATTAACTATAGTTATATCTACCATAAACCATAGAATTCATCCACCAACCAGATCAACCAGTGTTCTTTTAATGCAATGTGAGGCCCCCGTTAGATAGCTAAGTTGGTGAACATAACTCCAATGTCACTCTGGTTTATGGTACTTATAACTACGGTTACTGGGGCTTTTGTTAACCAACTTATAACTGGGGGGCCTCACATTGTATGGATACACTGCGATTTCTCATGGATCAAACCACTTCCGGTTTCGGGGTGGAATGTCCAAGTTGGACCATCACTGGACGGCGAAAATTCGGAATCCAGGCGGTGTGACAACTTTGTTTGATACCCGGCAAGAAACGATATGCGTTTTGAGATACTGTATCTCTAGCATTTCTTACTTGAGTATATATGTATATATGAATGATATGTGTATGTGTTTAGTTAGACTTTTTACATCTGATATAATATGTATTCCACTACTTGAAATCTTTATTTTGCTAAAGATCAGCACGGATGAAGTATCGCCGAAGTGACCACCACCATCATACAGGAATTCATGGAGACGATGACACGCCTTGGTGACAAGCTGGATAATCAACTTTGAAGCTGCTGACCAGGGAAGAAAGAAAACAAGAAATGAAGCAGCTATGGAACAGCCATGAACATGGCATTTATGGGCACATAAAACGAAGAGGCGTTGCCACTGGCGGTTTTGTATAATCCCAGTGTTGACGAATTTTGGTATACCCTCTGGTAAACTAACATAACTATGGAAAATCACCATTTTTAATGGGAAAACTCACTATAAATGGCAATTTTCAATAGCTATGTTAGTTTACCAGAGGGTACATCGCAACTGGCTTGACACAGAACCAACTTCACTGGATTGATGCCTTCTCCCGCTCCTATGGCCTGGCTATTTCTGGGGTAAAAAAACCCGCAGTTGATCGTATTTTCCTTTTTATGGCGGGGAAAAAAACGACTATTATCATCTGGTTATGACTAACATAGCCATGGTATAGATGGTCCATAGAAATAGATGAATAGATGATGTTCCCAGCTAGAAACCTCCATTTATTTTTGGGTTTTCCATGGCAAACTGTTAATTAGTCATAACCAGAGGGTATCATCAATTATCAAACAAACCCATTATCCCATTCTTATTTTGGATCGAGTCGAGTCGAGTCATCGAGTCGCATAAAGTCATCTGGATCGCAGCGCACCAGCAATGGGCCTGGGGTTGCTGGTGACATTCGGGAAGGATCCCTGTAACTGCCAAAAAATCGAAGAGTAAAATCCATTTTCTATCTTCGGCAGTGATATAAGTGATGTATCAGGATGTAAAATAGAAAAAAACGAATAGTGATACATCATGATACATAACTGTTCTATCTTTTTGATCTTTTTGGGGGTTACTATTATATATATATATATACTGGTCCGTCACGAAATCCGCATAATGCGGGAGGAGTCTTGGTTACAGTTGCTCTATAGAATGGTTGGGTTGGGTGGAGGATTGAAAATGCAGGTGCTAAATATGCTTCCAGAAGGTCTCTAAAGAATCAGAAACCTCAAGAACTATATCTGGTTGGTGGCATACCTACCCCTCCGAAAAATATGAGGAGTTCGTCAGTTGGGATGCTGAAATTCCCAATATGATGGGAAAGTCATAATCCAGCCATGTGCCAAACCACCAACCAGTTAATCTTGTTGGTTTATAAAACATTATCATCCCCATTAACTATAGTTATATCTACCATAAACCATAGAATTCATCCACCAACCAGAATTATCATCCACCATAGAACATATAAATTGAGAATTGATGCAAAATGGAGGCAGTTCTTCTCTCAAGAATGGTCGAATTTCGGTCCAGTCCACAAACTTGGCCAATCTGACCCCAACACTTCATAGCGAAAACCATCCTGGGATATAAAAACTATATGTTTTTTAACACATTAAAAACAGACACAAAGAGCATCTGGTTGGTGGTGCAATAACCGAGTTTTTTCGTGGCGGAGGTGAACGATCCACCAAAAAAAACATGAAAAACAACGGGTTGTTCATAAGTCACCAGCCTGAAATATTAGGTCTGTTTCTTTTTGTCATGTGTTTTTTGGGTTGATAGATGTCAATAGATGTCAATAGATGTCAATAGATGTTAATAGATGTCAATAGATGTCAATAGATGTCAATAGAATTCAATAGATGTCAATAGATGTCAATAGATGTCAATTGATGTCAATTGATGTCAATTGATGTCAATAGATGTCAATAGATGTCAACAGATGTCAACAGATGTCAATAGATGTCAATAGATGTCAATAGATGTCAATAGATTTAAGTTCTTGAAATGACATGAAGCAAAGATCTGGCTCGGACTTTCCTGACAGGGTCGCTTTGGCATTCACAGTTTGGCCCTGTTTCGTGATGTGGAGCTTCTTCTGTGTTTGAGCACCAGATTCCATAAAATTCCATGATTCCATACAAGTAGCATTCCATGACCAGAAACGGTCATGGACAAGCCTCCAACCTTTTTTTTTTATGGATTGGCATGACGTGCTTCCAGGTGTCACATAAAAACCACCAAGAGACCCACATCCAAGAAGAGGATCCCAATTAGGATGGCTGAAAGACCTCAAGAAATGCGTGGCCAAGTTGGAGATGAAACGACTGAAAAAAAACACCAACGGTGTTCATATCCCTTGCCCAAAAATGTTCCAAAGGTTCGAACCTGAAAAGTCACCATTCTTAACCCATAGGATCCATGTAATTATGCCATATATGGTAACATTTACCATCAATATACCCCAAATGTTAGCATATATACCATACATGGATCCTTTGGGTGATGGAATGCAATCTGCTAACCCTCAACTCATGCCTTTGTCTATGTTAGTAGTAGCTTTTTGTGGTGTGCTTGGTCCCGTGGCAGTTCATGCTGGGTATCAGCATCTATCCAGTTGTGTTGTGTTGTAGCTCACACACTCCTGGGATTGACTCGTTGACACACTTGGTGCGCTTCGACTTGAAAAGTATATATATATCACATATATATATATATAACATATATATATATAACATATATATATATAACATATATATATAACATATATATATATATCACATATATATATATCATATATATATATTATATATATATCATAATATATGTATGTATCACATATTATATATATATATTACTATATGATATATGATATATATATAGGTGATATATGGTCGTAATTATAGGAACTTGCGGGTGTTAACTCACCATGTTTTCTATCCATAAATAACCCCAACTGCACCCAAGCGCATATCCATTAGAAGCAGTGAGGGAACGCATCAAACAAGTGACTAATCCTCAGTGAAACCAAACAAGTTCTGCACCAAATTCAACATAGATACTCCAAAATTGCCACTTTCAACCGGGGAAAAATCTCTTCCCTGCATTTTTTCCCGTGATTTGTTTCCGTTTGGGGAGTTCCAGATGGTAGTTCCTGAGACTTGCCAAAGTTTTCGAGGGTAAGATTGACATTTCTGTTAGTTTCCCCCGTTTCTTCTTGGCTCCCTCCCTTCAAGCTTGCCGCTCTTAGATATCCTGCAACAATAGCATCATTTCATATACCTAGATAGATAGTAAATATGCCCAAAATCAAGAAACCACAGGATATAAGAAAGTTTACCAATATTTCGATATCCCAAGGTTTAATACTAAAATGTCCTGTTTAAATCCCCCGAAAATATCATTAAGATTCATTAAGCCTCGTATTTTGGACAATCAAATCCATAGTTTTCCATATTTTGTTATGCATATTTTCCACATTTCTCGATATTTCTCTATATGTGTTCCATGTTTGTTCCATATTAGTTCCATAGTTTCATAAAATCTTGCCATCGCCATCACCGGTCCATGACCGCCATGACACTGCAAGCCCCGGCCAGTTCCAGTGGTACTGGAGGCATCAATAAGACGCGCTGCAGTAGAACTGCCTCGGGGCGGTTGTTCGGGTTGACATTTTCTTCGCCCAAGACATGGGGATGTGTCCTGTCTGGATTGAAGCTGAAGATACAGAAAAAAACCTACAATGTGAGGCCCCCCAGTGATGTGAACGTTGGTTAACAAAAGCCCCAGTAACTAGTTTGTTATTTGCGTACCATAAAACAGAGTGAAATTGGAGTTATGTGAACCCCAACTGAACGCTATCGAACGGGGGCCTCACATTGTATATATGCTAACATTTGGGGTATATTGATGGTACATGTCACCATATATGGCAGCACCATGGATCCTATGGAATATATATATATATAGAATATCCCCTACTTTTGGTGGGAATATATAAAAACCATGGATCCATGATGGGGGATCCAAAAAAAATCCCTCCGTTCCCTCCGTAGATCTCCCCTTCGGTCTCTTCCCAGTGGCGCAGCATCCGATGCACCATCCAGGGAAGAAAGACAGCGCCAGGACCTGAACGCAACGGCACCCCAACGGGTAACGGGAGGGTTCCGTTAAGATGGCCTAAGAAGCCCCGTTAAATTCACGGGGTTGATGGGGGCTGATATTCCCTCCTCAAACTTCAAAAAGACTTCGGTTCATGAAGGATTTCATGGATAATTTCAAAATGTTTTGATTATATAAATAAACATATTGTGACATTGATGCTGGTTGAATATCCACTGGAATCTTATTGTGAGGATTTCTCCTCAACAAGGATTTAATATGATCTATATAATGACTCAAGACTACCATTCATTGTGATGAAGGAACCCTAAATAGGGCTCGAAGTACTTTACTAATTTGGAATTCTAGAAATCCCCCAGAAAAGAGATGGTTTTCAAGGTCTAACAAATGGGGATTGACTCGATTGACATACAAAACAGATGGCCAGACATATTGAAATTTAGGAGGAATGGTCCTAAATAGGCGTTTGATTGTAGACATTTATGAATTGATAAGTACAGAATTGTGAATTGACGACTGCACAAAACTCAGGAATTCAACGATAAGACAAGCGGATTGAACTATCAGAAAATTAGGATTTAACTACCCACAATTAAGAGAACACATAGACATTGCTGAATGTTTTCAGGTGTCATTCAAACTGATTTAATATGAATCAAGGTAGACTTTGACATTTCTTTAAACACATGTTTCACATGATTCAATATGATTTTACTACAAGTTGGTTTAAACTAAACGCTGACCAAGTGATTTGACTACCAAGCACAGGGCTTGACCTTGTGTGCAAATGCAATGCATGTTAGGTAATTGGATTACTCCATCGTGAAAAACATATATCAAAACCCTCGTCTGTTGCCGGGGGGGGGTGAGGCACCTAAAAAAATAAAATAAAATGCAGGGGCCTAAGGAGAAAATGCCAATAAAATGAGAGGGCATAAGGTAAGATAGGAAAACCCAAGCAAAATACAATGGACAGGTACAAAAAGAAAATGACGTCGGCACCCTCCACCTGGCCACTGGTGGACCTACATTATGCAACTGTTGGACCTCGGGCTCCGGCATTTTCTTTTGGGTTGATCTTGTTTTGTCTTGTTTCCTTCTTTGATTGGTTTTAACTTAAACCATGTTTAGTCTTGTTTAGTCTTGTTTAGCCTTTTCACGTGCCAACAGGAAGGAAAAATTGCGCGGATTTCGATCAATATATAATATATATATATATATAATTGGTTCCACTTCTGACATCTGGATGGTTTCTAGAAAAGATACAAATAAATATAAATAAACTTAAGAAATCTCATTGGCTGCTGTAAGCTGCCCGTGTGTCTTTTGTTGACCAAGGAAGGCAATAGAAAATGAGGGGGGCCAACCCATTTTCGAAGTTAATGTCCAAGTAATTCCAAATCTCTGGAATGTTTCACAAAAGGAAAAGGGGAAAAAGGAAAGGGAAGAGACACTGTCAGTTAACTTGATGGGTTAGGCACCTCAAGAAATAAAATGCACCCACAAAATAAAATGCAGGGGTCTGACCCATTTTATTTTCATTTTATTTTTATGTTTTTATTTTAAAAGGGGCTTCAGCCCCCCCATTCTATTTAGGTACCCCGGACAGGGGTTATCAAATAGAGGAATCCAACTGCGAACAATATACGGTGTATATATATATATCTTATTATATGTTATAATATTATACTATACCATATTACTATATTGTATTATACGATACTATACTATATTGTATTAGATCATATTATATTGTATTGTATTCTTATATAGACACCCTTTTAACCAAGCATCCACCCAAATCCATGACTCGGACGATGGAAATCTCATCCCAAAAAGAGACCGGACGCAATAAACCACGGCACTACAGATCCATTCAGTTTCCGCTCCAAACCAGAGAGGATCCTTGAAATTACCTGACGCTTACGGCGAAATAAAGGGGGGGGGGCGTAATCATTTATCTTGGGGGTTTACATGTCAAACCATATCCTACCTCAGGTTTTTGGGTTTGTAGGTCTCTTCATCTGCCTATTTGGCACAGGGATTTTCATCTCTGGTTCCATAGTTCCTTCAAAATCCATTATGCCATTGCGGGTCAAGCTAGTTAATTAAGCATAATTAAGCTATACCCTCTGGTAAACTAACATAACTATGGAAAATCACCATTTTCAATAGGTAAATCCACTATTTCTATGGCCATTTTCAATAGCTATGTTGACACAACCAGAGGGTAATTCCGATCCCTTTTTTTTGTGGCATTTCTTGGCAATGAAATGGGAAAACATCCGTCCCGGTGACCGGTGGCTTTTCATCTTTTTTTTCCAGGGTCCGAAAAATGGTGAGCGAAGTGGAAAAATCACCATTTTGAAGAACGTTTTTTTTTTTCATCTAATTATACATATCCCATAGGATCCATGTATGGTATATATGCTAACATTTGGGGTTTATTGATGGTAAATGTTACCATATATAGCATACATGGATCCTATGGGTATTATATCTAATTAAGATCTATAAATGGGCAATTTCGCATAGCTATGTTTTACCCGTAGAGGGTACACTCCGAACCTTGCATCCTGTTCCAATGGTGAAGCGGAAACCTCTAAAAAATCCACCATTCACACCTTTTACAAGGCTCCAGCCACAAGCATCACATCACAACCAAAACATACAGAAACAATCATGGGATGTTCATTTCAGGGCTCAAAGTCGGAAAAAAACTCTTATTATTCATATTTATGAAGAACATACGCATTCTCATTGACCTGAGGCAACATGTGTAAACACCAATCTGACGATCTCGTCTGTTAAAATTGAGCTCAACAATCTCAACAACAAATCAGAGCATGTGTTGATTGTTGGTTTTCTCTGCGAGGTCTTCCTCAAACAAATGAGCTTGTCCAAAAATGGGTGTCCAAAAAATAGGCTACCCATGGCTACCCTATATATTAAACACCACTTCTTGTTTTTTTTCGGTGTCCCTCATTTCAGAAACACCCAAATGATCCTTAAATGATGAATTGAATCTCTCGCAGGTTGCTGTGGTGCAGAACATGGTGATGCACAGAATCGCTAGAATCCTTGGTGACGGCCGCCCACATCCACAGGAACGGAACTGTGACAGCTCCAGGTCAAAATCTTGGTAACCTAGGTCCCTAGGATTCCCTAGGTACCCTAAAATAGCTGCAGGTAATGGATGATTACTCCGCCAAATATGGCAATAATAAATTTTGAATGATTTTGATTCATCCCCATTTTTTCTTCCCACTGTCCCAGACTTTTGGAAAAGCAGCATTCGAGTTCTCTAATGCTACTGATCTGTGAATGGTTCCAAATATCATGCACCCGCCAGGAATCTGTTGAAACATGTGGAGGTTTCCGTTTTGTCATGGGAGTAGCTCCAGATCATCCCGTTGTCATGGATCATCATATTCTTTGAAACCTATCGAAACCGAAAAGGTGACGACTGGAGATCCACAACATCAAAAACGAACACCAGACTCACCGTGTGTGTTCACAATCAATGGATATGGAAAATCCATGAAAATCCCTGACACATGGATGTTCCAAGGATCTCAAACTGCATCAGCGTCATGAAGTTCTTGGAGTATGCCCTTGGAAACGGCGCCGGAGCAACAGGAATCCCGTAAGAAACACTGTCATCCCGGGAGGCATCCCGGGAGTCATCTCGTGGTGAAGCAGATCAGCCCTGTTTGACCCTGTTTGCCTCCCAGGCACCATTGTGATCATCTGTGCATATCCCAAATCAGATTTAGCGGACGCCTTTGCTTTTTCCCGATTCTTTCAGGTACCAAACCCATTTGGAGGTTTCCTAAAATAGTGGTGCCCCCAAATCATCCAAGTCATGGATGACCATGACTTAGCATTGAAACAACCATAGTGACTTGAAGACTTGGGTAGCATTTCATGTCATTTCCCAGGTCATTTCCCATTTTTCCCTATTTAAATTCCCCTTCCCCAGAGGTCTGCAAGATGCATTGACCAGAAAATTCCAGAGATCACTGTGGTGGCCACCAATAGCCTCGGTCCATCGGATCCATCGAATCATCCAATGGGGTTTTGACCAATCGACAGCACTTCACACAGGATATATCCGGGATATGATGTGCTTAGCAACTGGCTTCTGAAAATTCGGTAGCCCATCATTTTTTGATATTTTTTGATTGATTACATATATTTATATATGATGTTCCCTTGTAAGGCTGAGAAATTTTGGCGGATGTACCCAGAACATGGCTTGTATGTGGGTTACAACTTACATATCATATCGGGGCATCAGTTTGCAGAACTTAGGAGGCTTTACAGGTCATAAAAAAACGTTACATAGAAGTTACATGTCTATAGATATATGTATAAATAATCATACATATATAAAGGCTCAGCTGGCTCTATTTTGACGCATAGCAAGCCGAATTTTGTCAGAAAAACTGATAGGGGAAAAGGATATTCTACCAGAATTCCTTTGACCCACAGAACTTTAGCCAAATTTGGCTCAAATCATCCAATAGAAACTTCCGCTCCTCCCTGGAGCTTCCCATATATTCTTCAGGAGGCTTAGTTACATTGACTCTCCGCCAAACCGAAGAGACAATGCACTCCTCCGTGCCCCCTAGGGCCTCGCCTAGCCGAGGCTCTCCTAGGCCCTAAGCACATTTAAACTCAATTTTGATCACAAAACACATGAAAATTGAAACTCTCCATTTAAAAACTTCCGAAGAAAAGGAGGGGACCCATCTCCTCCCAGGGAGGGAGGGACGGGTGCTGAGCCAAAAACTGCGGTCAAAGCACCGCATCTTCGCCTTAATCCCTGAGGACAGGTAAACAAAGGCTCAGCTGGCTCTATTTTGACGCATAGCAAGCCGAATTTTGTCAGAAAAACTGATAGGGGAAAAGGATATTCTACCAGAATTCCTTTGACCCACAGAACTTTAGCCAAATTTAGCTCAAATCATCCAATAGAAACTTCCGCTCCTCCCTGGAGCTTCCCATATATTCTTCAGGAGGCTTAGTTACATTGACTCTCCGCCAAACCGAAGAGACAATGCACTCCTCCGTGCCCCCTAGGGCCTCGCCTAGCCGAGGCTCTCCTAGGCCCTAAGCACATTTAAACTCAATTTTGATCACAAAACACATGAAAATTGAAACTCTCCACGTCCCCCTGCCCTGCTAACAGCTGCTCAAGTTTTTGTCAGCGAGTAGCAAGCTTGTAGTGAGTGAGAAAAGGTTTTAGGGAACGATCCGGAATCTTAAGCTCTGCCAAAATGGCGAGCCCTTCGTTTATATACACCTTGGCCGTCTTGGGAGCGGCCCATCTCCCTTGGACGAGGAGTTTGTCGAAACTCCCATGATGACGAAACCAATGAGTGGCCCCTCCACGTCTTAGACTATACGAGCGGAAATTGAAGGACTCTAAACCTAATGCTTCCAGGGTCTGAGCAAACAGGGTTCGCCACCGATAGGGGGAAGGGCACAAATGAGCCCCCACCAAATTACTCTGTTTCCACTTCCAAAGCAACTTTAGAACATCCAGGACGCCTAAAGTGGCACTTTCAGCGGCCCCTTGGCGCTTGCCTCCCTTAGTCATTCCCAAGGAGACAATAGCCACTGACGTGGGCTTAGTCATAGCAATATGGTTTGCGCGAACCCCTAGGAGTTCCCCTGTGCGGAGCATACAATAGAAACCCAGAAGCAAAGAGAGACCAAATGCACACTGATTGTTAGCCAACGAGTAACCGACCATGGCATGTAGCACCTTCTCGGGCAGCGGCGGCGCTCTGTTTGGAATCTCGTTCAGAGACCAGGTTTTGAGTAAACGCCAGGAGGCAGGTAATTGGCCACGGAGGCGCGGGTCTTTGTCTTGGAGCCCTGCTACCGTGTCATTGGCCAATGACCTTCCCTCCCCGGAGGCCCATAAGTGTTCGATGAATTCAGAAACCAAAACATCCAAGTCTTGCCGCCGACGAGGAATCTCAAAACCTTCTTTTTTAAGGAATTCATAGAAGCGCTGCCGAGCCTTGAAATACCGATCCTTAGTTTTGCTTTGAACAGTCAAGGACTGCAGTGGACCTAGAGTTTTCCGAACAGCTATTCTCTCCTTTTTTGTGCGTGCCTCCACATGACGTTTTGCTACTTTCCCCATTTTTTCTTGACTTTTCGGCGGCTCGGTTTGTCCGCCGGGTTCTCAGACGTGTGGACATAGGCCCACAGGGGGTGGAGGTTGCACGCAAGGAGATAGCTGTTCACTTTAGCAATGGTCCGCCGCATTTTCTTGCTACTGCTTCTGCCCCTGCTTAACGCATGAAGGCAAACAAGGGAGTCAGTAAGGTGCACAAACCTGCAGGAATGGGCGTTGCGCTGTGATACCCACCAGCGAATGGAAGTGTAAATGGCCCGGAGTTCAAGCACATTAATGTGCTCAGGGGATCCAGTCCACGACCACCCGGCGATAGTCTTCCAACGCCACAATTTTGCTGGCACAGATGCTCGCAATCGTTGGTACTTCACCTGTTGTTCTGAGGAGGACTGCAGCAGTATGTCTTCACCCTTTATTGACACCAACCCGGCCAGCTTCTTAACCAAATGGGTGCCTTCCACAGGCGCAGCTACCAAAGTCCGTCGAAGCGGCGGGCACAACAGGAGCCTTTGAAGCTCCCCTGACCCTCCCGGACGGAGCCCTTGAATAATCTGCTGCAAGGAGAACTGAGGGCAGAACCCCAGCAGATACCCCAGGCAGCTGACTAGCCAGGCCACCACCGGGATGCTCCACGCGTTCCCTACTAGGGTTAAGCGGGCATCATTATACCCAACGAGGGACCGCTGTGACTTGGGCCAGCACGGAGCAGTGTAGTCCAGGGGCATCCCCATCACCACTTCTCGTTCCCGAACGCTTGCGATGCGCAGGGATCCATCACGGTGAAGAAGACAGTTTTGGTTGCGATATTGATAAGGAGGGAACCGGTGCTGGTCCTCCTCCCAACGCCGCAACTCGGCAGGCGAACACTGCTGCAATCCTGCGGGTTTCCTCCCAGGTGTAGGAGAGGGTCTGGAGGTGGTAAAAGTAGGCAGACGCTGACCCGGACTTTGGAGGTTCCACCCAGGCTCCAGATAATCAATCGGATCCAACTGCCCTGAGAGAATGATTTCGTGATGTTGCCCATAGCGGGGGTTTTCAAGCCTGTGGATTTCAACTCCCTTTGAACAAAGGAGTTCCCAATCACACCAGTACAGCCGAGGCCGGTGGGCAAGGCTGATTCCAGCTGCGTCAATGCGGTAAGGAATTTCTTCCACAGCTTGACTCATGACAGCCTTGTCAGTTTCATCCATCGATGCTACAGACTCCATGAGAAGTCGAACCTGCGCCCAAGGGAAGTGCCGGGCAAACAAACTCTTGATGCGGGGTACGTGGCGGAATAAACCGCTGCGAGCATCTCGGAGAGCACCCCGCTTGTCTGAGTTTAGGCCAGACACACCCTGACACGGGGGGCCTGCCCCGATCAAGACCAGGCCCACCTGGCTGAACCTCCCAGACCAGGAGAGCACCATCTCGTCATCAATAAGTTCCACGTTCTCCACAAAGACGCTATCAGCGAACGCCGCCTCGACAACCCTCCTGCCTTCAGGTTCTTTTTCAACACTAATATGCCCGGCCATAGGAAGTCCCAAGAGATCGCAGGCGATGCGCAAGCAACCCACTCCATCGAATAGGCCGACGGAAAGCACCTGCATCAAGTCGTGCGCCTCCGGTACGTCGCCTCGCACTGTCACGTTGGCTGCTGCAGCCCCGTACGCCGTCAACCCGGTGGACACACAGGCGCCCCCTCCGCTGGAGGAGGCATCACTTGCTGTGACATCTCCCATGCATGCAATGCGGAAGTCCAACCTGGCAAGGGGAGCCAGGGCGCAGAAGCGAGTCAATTCCAATACAACCTCCCTAGGGATCAGGAGGCGTACCACCGGCGGTTCCGCCTTGAAGGACTCGATGAATTGCCAGCAGGCATTAAGGGCGGACAGCAGGGGTCGTCTGAAAAGACTGAAGTAGACGAAACCCCCGCAGACCACCTGCATCTCCCGTTGGGTCGCTACGCCGCGTCGGACAAGTTCCAACGCCAGGCTGACATATAGACCTACCTTTGCAGGCTTGGGATAGGCAATCCCAAGACGCCCATCCAGTACTGCGCCCTGGACTTCCGCCACAGGGGCCTGGCACACCGACTTCCCTGGGTGCCGTGGCAGTTTAGCTTCCGTGTAAGCCTGCCTGGCGATCAGGCTCAAGAGCCCTGGTTGACCTTCCACTTGCTCGGCCGTGGCAGTATCCAGTTTGCGGATAACGTCAAAATTGTCCAAATAGATCCGGTATGACTCCCTACTGCAAGTGGCAGGCCGGTCCTTTCTCATCTCTCCCTCGCCCGCAACAGGAGGCTGGGCTTCCAGGAGAGAGTGTCTGATGACCTGGCGATGAACGTGCTGCGCAATTCCAACACTATTCCGAAATCCCATTGGTAAGACACGTGCATGCAGCACGCACGGTTTGCCACGCCACTCCTCGGGCACGAGTTCAGCCGGGATCAACTTGTTGAAACCAAGAAACGGGAACCAGTTTGGAGGAAGCGCGAACAAGTAGAAGAAGCACTTAATATCTTCGGACGATATTAATGCCACTTCGCCTTCTCCCAACACAAAAGGAGAAAGTCCCGAGATTCCGGGCAGAGTAGAGATGTCAGAATCCAATGGCCTGCAATTGTCATTCAGCGGAATGAAATTCATGATTAACCGCTGAGTTTCAACAGCCCCGACAAATTCATTCTTTCCTACTCCAAAGAGTCCCCCAAGCAGGGGTCTCCCATGGATGTGAAAAACTTGTTCCAACGGAATAATTCCGCACACTCTTCGCTGAATAAGGCCCCTACAAACTTCCACCCAGTCTCCGTCAGCTACCATCACGGTAGGTGGCCTTCCCAGAAACCTTTTGTCAGGAGGCACTAAAAATTCCGGAAAATGTTCAACGTAAAATTTTGTTCCCATACTGCAAAAATCTAAAAGCGCCACCCCTCCCACTTCAGGAGGCATGGCGGGTGAAATAGAAGACCAGCTGAACCTCTGAGCTACCTTAACTTCTTCACCCCGGTAGTCCACACCCTTGGACCTGAAAAAGATGTCGAAGTTAATCTTAGGGAATTTTTCATCCCACTTGCCCATCGCCTCAACACACCCGCATATGAATTTGAGGGCACGACAGGACGCTTCGCTGCACTTTCTTTTTTCAGGCTCCTCGGGCTCGCCGTAGAGCAGGTTCAGTGCGCGGCAGGTGGCCTTGACCATGCCTTGGTAAGGAGACCTTTGGATTATCTCAGATGATAAGGGAAGAGGAAAGATAGCTGACTTCCCCGACCCCATGGGCTGCGGCTTGCTATGCAGTTTCGCCACAGAAGCTAACTCACCTAAGATGTCATACAAAAGGTCTCCCATAGCCACTAGCCCTTGGCCTTCCAGGGCGCCGCACTCACTGGTCAAAAACTTTTGGGTAAAAACACGTTCCAGCCTTGGGGAATACTCCTGGGACGGCCCAGTCTTCTTCCCTTCAAGGCCCTTGGCCTTTTGGGTGAAACTTGGGGGTGATTGTTGAATTAGTGAAAAGATGCCGCTCACTGATGCCGCCGCCCCTTCTCCCGCCGCAGGAGAAGAGACATCCACACTACCGTCGTGCTTCATAGTGCCAGGAGGCTCCTCCCCTCCCAAATCAGCCAGGGGCAGTCCCGGTTTGTCAACTGCCTCATGACTTCTCACTTTCCCTTTGTTCGCTCTTTTTCTTTCTCTGCTGGTAGATCTCGCCTGGTGTCTCGTTGGTCCCGATTTGCTTGGCGCCAGTCCTTCCCTTTTGCCTGGCCCTTGGCGCCCTTGCCCTTCTCTGTTGACTCTCTCCTCCACTCTTGCGTCCGGTCGGGATTGGCTGTCGCCCCGAAGACGCGGCTGGACTGTGCTCTCAGCCTTCCAGCCTCGCGAGCTTCTTTTGCTGCAGCTTCCGTCTCTTGGGGCGTAGCGACGGTCGCTGTCTCCTCTGGAACCAGTTCGTATTGGGACGTGACCGTCCAGTGCTTCCCGTTCGTCTGCCCATCCAACGCCTTCAGACGTTGTGACATCACGTCCATGAGCTCTGGTATTCGGCCCTGTATGCCCAGGTCCAGACAAAAGGCCAGATGCAACCCTTCCCTCCTCATGGCAGGAGGCATCCGAGGGCCGATATTTCCGCGGAAAAACTGTAGAAATAGTGGTGGGAGCTCTCTCTTGTCGAGATCCCACAGCTGGCCTTGTGCAGTGAGCAACTGCTCCTGCATTGTGGCCAACGAAGTGGCCGTCAAGACCCCCGGACATTTCTTCCAGATCCTTTTTGCCATCTTGGATTGTCCGAAAATGTCCGCCGCTCCCACACTGGTTTCTTGGGAGCTGCTTGAACTTACCTTGGAGCTCCCACTGGGCGAGGAGCTTTGACGTTTCTTTCTTCCCTTCCTGATCATCTTCTTCGCCTTCCTCAGAAATCTCCTCCTCCTCTGAGGCGAAGGATCGAGCCCGCTGTTGCCCAACACCACTCCCAAATCTCGCCCTCCCCGACGGAGGGCAGGAGGGGTTCGGCTCCTCTTCCGTTCTCGTCTCTCGTCCTTCTTTTTGTCCTTTTTTACTTCTTTCTTCAACTTCCTCTCTTTGGGAGTGTCGTCCCTTCTCGGGGAAGGACTTCTTGCCTCCTCCGCCTCTTTTCGGATCACATCTAACTGATCCTCCTCGTCCCTCCCAGCCTCCAGGAGGTTCTTCATCCAGCCAACTTCGTCCTCCGGTTTCATCCTCTTGGCTTTGACCAGGTGGGCCACATTGTCTGAGGCCAGCTCCTGACTGCAATCTTCTCCGCAGAGGTGACCTCGAATAACTCGACCTGGCACGCCTGTGAGGTGCCTCAGCAAATGCTCGCTCTGTGTACCTTCGACCTTGACTTCTGCCCATAGATCTCCGTTCTCTCTCCTCAGCCCTCTGATGAGCCCTACTAACTTTGTGGCTTCCTTCCAATAGATCACTTCTGTAAAAAGAACCCTCCCACATGTCAGTAGGTCTCCAGGAGGGATGCTGCTTGTTTTCACCTCCCCGAAATCTTCAAAGGATTTGCCGGCCTCACCGGCCGCTGCTGGCCGCTTAATTCTGGGACGCCGAGGTCCCGCCCCCGGTCGGGGCAGCGCTTTGCCCTTTGCTGCGGGGCGCCGCAACGCCTTAGGAGGCATTCAGCCTTGGGGCTGACCTCCCTGCTGGTTTCGCTCACGCCACCTCCTCTCCTGTCGCTCTCTCTTCCGCTTTCCTTTGTTCTTAGGCTTCCGCGCCAAGGACTTGGGCGTAACACCTGCAGGGGGTGGATCCTCAGGCGGCCTACTCCGACGGCCTGCCGGGATCGGGCCGACCCAAGTCCCGCGGGTGTCCTCCCTACGCAAAGGAGGCGGGCTGTGCGGTGACCTGGGTCTGACTGGCGACCTTCGTCGCACAATAGGCGATTTGCTAACCGACCTATCTTCCACCTCGGACTCGGACTCCTCTTGCCAATCGGACTCTGCAGGCTTTTCTTTCAGGTCAACCAGACCGGGCTTGTTGCTTTGCTTTCTTTTTCTAAGGGCTCTGCTTTCACCTCTCGCTTTTCTTGATCTCTGGCTCGATCTTCTTCGCGGCGGCTCCTCTTCTTCTCTTTCTCAGGCTCTCCTCTGGCACTCGAAGCTTGCTCTTTCTTGCTTTTCTTGTCTTTGCGTTTGCTTTTCCCTTCCTTCTTAACTCCCTCGGCAGCAGGAGTGGGCCCTTCCACCAGGGGCCTCTTGTCGATCTCAGCGGCTGATCCTCCAGCGGCGTTAGGACCCGGGGCAGCAGGAGCGGCGGCTACGCTCCCAGTTTGGGCCCCTCTGCCCTCACGCAGAGACTGTTGCACGTAGAAGTGTTGGTCCGCCTCCTGCAACAGTTGGAGGTAGCACTGGTTGACAGCCCGGACGGCCGGGATGCCAAGGTTGGCCGGGTACCTGGTTCCCCACACCAGATACGACAGCCGGAAAAGGCCTTCACAGACCTCACACCGAACCGCTCCCAGGTTCAGGAGCGGGAATTTGCCCCGGCACGATGGGCAGCTCCTCGGAGGTGCTGCGGTCATGTGCTGAGCCAAAAACTGCGGTCAAAGCACCGCATCTTCGCCTTAATCCCTGAGGACAGGTAAACATATATATATATATATATATACATACATAATTACAAATATGTGTCCAAGTTGCCAGTGCTTTACTATATCTTTCACGCTCTGCAAACAGTTTGCAGCCCATGTTTCACAGTTTTCTCCGTAAGATCCCAATACCTAGAGGGAAGCACCATGGAGCTGTCCCAGTGCCAGATTCCTCTCAGAAGGTTGAACCATCAAATATGAGTGATTTCACCAACCAAAATTGGGAGTGCCCTCTTGTAATTGAACATATTTGTGGAAATCACATCTTTTGTTACGTTTGTAAATCCTCTATCAATTGGGCATGTTCCATAGCTATGTTAAATTAATTACATTTAATTACCATAGTGTCATCATCAAGAACTACTGTGGATGGTTGCGAAATCCTGCACCACCAAAAGGATGGTTGAAACCCTATAAATAATGGGAGAAACCATCTATCAAGTGGTGCAGGATTTCGCAACCATCCACAGTAGGATCTCCTTTAAGCAGTGGACTTTCACCAGCAACTGACCGCCGAGTTACAGGTAGTTAGCAGGGAAATGGTCCTGCTGTGGATGAATTTCAATGAATAGGTGGTCCCCCTAGTGAGCTGAGAGTTGGTTTCGAATGGTAACTGAAAAGAAGCCAGGCTTTATGATGATTGTAACTATAGCTTGATGGGCTAAATCAACTTCTAACATCTACCCTCTGGTTATGACTAACATAGCCATGGTATAGATGGCCCTAATCGAAATAGATGGTTTACCGTTCTTAAGAATGGGTGGATCTTTCCATGGCAAACTGTGAATGTCATAACCAGATGGTAAATCCCATTATATCCCCTATAAATCCCCATAAATCACCATTAAATCACCATAAATCACCATAAATCACCATTAAATCACCATAAATTACCATAAATCCCATTAAATCCCACTAAATCAACATAAATCCCCATTAAATCCCACTAAATCACCATTAAATCCCCATAAATCACCATTAAATCACCATAAATCACCATTAAATCACCATAAATCAACATAAATCACCATTAAATCCCGCTAAATCACCATTAAATCCCACTAATTCACCATTAAATCACCATAAAGCCCCATAAATCACCATTAAATCCCAGTAAATCACCATTAAATCCGACTAAATCCCCATAAATCACCATTAAATACCACTAAATCACCATTAAATCCCCATAAATCCCCATAAATTACCATTCAATCCCACTAAATCACCATTAAATCACCATAAATCCCCATAAATCACCATTAAATCACACTAAATCCCCATAAATCACCATTAAATCCCACTAAATTGCCATTAAATCACCATAAACCACCATAAATCACCATTAAATCCCACTAAACCACCATTAAATCACCATAAATCACCATTAAATCACAATTAAATCACCATAAATCCCCATAAATCACCATTAAGTCCCACTAAATCACCATTAAATCACCATAAATCATCATTAAATCCCACTAAATCACCATTAAATCACCATAAATCCCCATAAATCACCATTAAATCCCCCTAAATCACCATAAATCACCATTAAATCCCACTAAATCACCATTAAATCACCATAAATCCCCATAAATCACCATTAAATCACCATAAATCACCATTAAATCACCATAAATCAACATAAATCACCATTAAATCCCGCTAAATCACCATTAAATCCCACTAATTCACCATTAAATCACCATAAAGCCCCATAAATCACCATTAAATCCCAGTAAATCACCATTAAATCCGACTAAATCCCCATAAATCACCATTAAATACCACTAAATCACCATTAAATCCCCATAAATCCCCATAAATTACCATTCAATCCCACTAAATCACCATTAAATCACCATAAATCCCCATAAATCACCATTAAATCACACTAAATCACCATAAATCACCATTAAATCCCACTAAATCACCATTAAATCACCATAAATCCCCATAAATCACCATTAAATCCCACTAAATCACCATTAAATCACCATAAATCACCATAAATCACCATTAAATCCCACTAAATCACCATTAAATCACCATAAATCACCATAAATCACCATTAAATCACCATTAAATCACCATAAATCACCATAAATCACCATTAAATACCACTAAATCACCATTAAATCACCATAAATCACCATAAATCACCATTAAATCCCGCTAAATCACCATTAAATCCCGCTAATTCACCATTAAATCACCATAAAGCCCCATAAATCACCATTAAATCCCAGTAAATCACCATTAAATCCGACTAAATCCCCATAAATCACCATTAAATACCACTAAATCACCATTAAATCCCCATAAATCCCCATAAATCACCATTCAATCCCACTAAATCACCATTAAATCACCATTAAATCCCCATAAATCACCATTAAATCCAACTAAATCACCATTAAATCACCCGCTATGTGAATGTCAAAACCAGAGGGTAACATCTCAGGGCCACAGGTCCACAGGTCCAGGGAATCTGCTGCAGGTCCATTATACGCTTGGTAAAGCATTCTGAGGGAATATGTACTGAACTTCGTTAAAAATTGCTATGCGGATATTCAGCAAAGTCAAGGTACGACTTGATAAAGCATATAGGTATATATAATATGTATATGGAATACATCATATGATTATTAAAACATGTTATAAACTAGAGACCTTTGTAAGTCTTATGCTACATGTTGCTTCAGCTGTTTTCTTCGACAGGTTTTTGGCGCGTCCTTGTAGCAATGCAATAGGAGGAGGCAAACCAGATTCAGCACGCCGAATGAGTACACGATGCCCTTGCTTCAGCATTTTGCCGGTTACCATGGTGATTTTCGGATGGTGAGAGATAGAATACCCTCCGGTAATCAAACATGGCAATTGATGGCAATTGAACATCCCCTATAAATGAAAGGTTTAGTGGGAAAATCAACTAGATTGCTAGAGGCTATTTGATGTAACATGCCATTTGTGTTTGCTGAGCATTACGGAACTTTTTATCAAGCTCCGAACCGCAGTGCAACCAACCACAAAAAACCACAGTCATGTCCGCCGAGTCGTTGGCCGAAAAAACGACAGAGCCAAGACAAACCGAAATCGTCGGCCTGACAATCATCTATAGTGACCCATGACGGATCCATGGTGCTGGTATATTAATGCTAACATGGTATATGTGGTTTTTGTTGATGGGATCCTTGGAGCACCATATATAGCAGCACCGTTAGGATCCGTCATGGGTGAGGTCGTGTTGAACAGTTATGATTCCCCAAAATTTAACCATCAACCAGCAGACTGCCCACTGCTCAATGTTTTTTAAACAATGGCAAGTACCCTATGTACCCTGGGGTAAACTGAGATGTGAAAAACCATGGACAACTATGGTTTCGGAAAATGATAAATGGATTGAATGGTGAAATTTCTAAATCTATGTTACTTTACAGGAAGGTATCAGTAACTCATATTACCAGAGCAGTGTCCTGTGTTTCAACTAGACCAGTTTAGCTTGTAGAGTGGGTGCAACTTGATACAGTTTCTAATTAGTTGTTGTATGTTGTATGTTGTTGTTCACTTTTGTTGCTTTGTTGCCACCATCTTTGTTGGCGA